CGAGCGCGTCCAGGCTCTTCCCCGGAGGTGGCGGCGGCAGAGCGCGCAGAGCTGCGGCCAAAGTAAGTGCGGGCCTCGGCGCAGCCGGCGGGCGGGCGCTGCGGGCCTACGGCTCCCCTTGGGCTCCGGGCCTCGGGCGACCGCCCGAAGTTTGGGGCTCGCCCCCCCCCCCGCTCCCGGGGCAGCGCTGCGCTGCCGACGTGGAGGCGGGGGGGGGGAAACTACGTGTCACCAGAGCGCATGAGCGAGGCTGGGGCCGGGGGCCGGCCTGGCCGGGGGAGGGGGTGCCGTGCTGCTGCCGCGTCATCGCTCCCGGCCAAGCTGGGCCTGAGCCAGTACGGGGGACGGGGAACTGGGGGTCTTGGAGCAGTGACACCGACGGTGGGAAGGGGGCCGTAGGCAACGCCGTCGGGGTCCGCCCGCAGAACAGTTCCAGCGGGGCCCGCCCCTGCCGACTGGCCCGGAGCGAGGGCCCCACGGGGGCCTCCCCCCGGGGGTCAGGGCCAGACCCGCGGGGCGGCCGTGGGCAGCCGGGTCACTGGCCCTTTAAGGGCTCTCCCCGCCCCCGGCGCGGGGACGGCCGCTGGTGGAGCCAGTGCTGAGGTGGCACCTCGGAGAGGCCCCGCGGGCACGCGTGGGAGCGAGCGCGGCGGGGGGTGGGGTGGGGGCAGGGTTGGGGGGCACCTGCCGGACCTGGGTCCCGGGGGGCTGCGCCCACCCCTCCCCCTGGCTTCTGCTCCGCTCCCTCCGGGGGGAGGGGAGGAGGCGGCTGGGCCCGGGGGTGCGGCTGGCGGGGCCGGCCCCGAGCACGACCCACCTCGGCGGGGCCCGCTCGGGCCGCGATTGCCCAAGTCGCCCGTCCGCAGGGCCGGCCCCACATGGCTGGGTCTGCGCCGGCCGCGGGCGAGACTGCCACATCCTGCGACCCCCCCTCCCCCCGAACCCACTCCTGCTGCAGACGCGGGGTGACGGGCACGCAGCTCCTCCTCTCCCCTCCCCCCCCCCGACACTAGGAAGGGGTCCTGGTCAAATCAGAAGAGCCGGGCAGCCCGCGGGCCTCAGGGCTGGAGAGAGCCCCGGGGTGCAGGGCCCCCCCCCGGGGGGTGCAGGCGCTTCCGGGGGACCCCGGCTGAACGGGCCCCGAGGGGCCTGAGGAGGCCGGTCTATCCACGGGAGGGCAGAAATGAGGAGGGGCTGTGGAGGGCCCGTCTGAAAGAGCCTTCAGCTGTGACTGCCCGGGAAGCCCTTTGACAGAGGAGGAGGGCAGAGCCAGCAATGGAGGGATAAATGGGGGCAAGGCGCAGAACTCGGCTTAAATTTACCAAAATAAACTGGAAAGCACTGCTCACTACCATTGGGTTCTAGAATGCTCCATGCCATCAAGTTGGTTCTATGTTCTAAGCACATTCCTTGACACATGATAGGCATCTAATAGATGTTAACGACTGACCGGGGACCTCTCCCTATAGAAACATGCCTTCTACAATGTGGCCGCAGTGTGGGGTCTTTCAGTATCTTTTTAATTTTAATATCCTTCCCTTCCTCCCGTCCCCTCTTAGAACTGTGGTATCAGGTTTTGTGTGGTGTGCATGTTCCAGAGGAGAAACAGTGGTTAGGTGACCTGCATTTTGTCGTTTTGTTTACTTTCTACCGCCTCCCACCCCCCCAGTTATTTACCGTCTGACCTTGGGGGCGATCACCTCGATAGGCCAGCTGCATGCACCTTTGGGACACACATGAGAATAGCCGCTTCCTGTACTTTTTGAATGTTGTGCTGAGATGGTGGATTTCAGGGCTGCGGAGACCTTAAAAATGGACGGTTAAGGGCTTGGGAGTCACACTTGGCCTCTTAGGGTCTCCTCCACCTTTTAAAATAAAAAACAACAAGCCTTCAGATGCCCCTGGAACAGGGAGGCCTAGCTGCCTCCTTCCTCAGATGCCCTGAACTGCATTCTGACCTTCTGACTTGGTCCTGGTTTTGCAGGAGTCCAGGATCCTGAAACTCCAGATTCACATTCTACATTTGTAATAAATCAACTGAAGTCATGTCTACAGCCTTTTTCTACTGGAGAATTTTTACTGTTCACAGAATAGCAGCCTTAGTCTGTTGACTAGAACCAGGGAATGAAAAGCCCCCTGAGTGGCTAAAGTAATTGCTCCTCTATTCTTGTCATCGGAAGGTTCCTTATGCCCTAATTCAGGGCCTATTTATTCTTACTTTGCAGACAGTTTGAATATAGCTGTGGCATAATGGAAAGAATTCTGGTTCTGAGTCAGGAGACACCTGGGTTCAGATGTCATCTCTGAAGTCTTAACTGTGTGATCCCTTTTCCAAGCCCTAGTTGCCTGGTGGGAGTTAGTACGTGTAGTATCTCATAGGCAAATCAAGAGGCATTTATTAATTGCCTGCTGTGTGCTTGACACCATGCTTTATCGCTAGAGACACGAAGAAAGGCAGAAGACATCGTCTGTTCTGAATATACAAACAACCATGTATAGACAGGATACATTCAGAATCTCCAGAGACAAGGCACTGGTTTTAAAGGTGATCAAGAAAGGCTTCCCATAGAAGCTGGGTTTTTAGTGGAGACTTGAGAGAAGCCAGAAAGTGGAGATATGGAGGGGAGGAGTTTCAGGCATGAGGAGCAACCTGTAAAATGCCTAGAACCAGGAGTTGTCGTGGGGGGGGGGGTGTCAAGGCGGCCAGTGCCACAGGATCCCATAGTTTGGAGTTAGGGGGAAAGGGGGAGGAGACCAGAAAGATGAAGTCGGGAAGCTTATGGGAATGCCAGATTGGATTTTATATTTGATTCCAGAGGTAAGTAGAGGAGTGACCTGCTCAGACTTGGGCTTTGTTGTTGTAAGGCTCAAATGAAGGGAATGTATGTAGAGCAGTGCTAGAACTGTATGAGCCAGATTGATCGGATGGGTGCTCTTGATTGGGGTGGAAGGGCTCCGAAAGCATAGTAATAATAGCTGGCATTTGTATAGTGTTTGCAGTTTGCAAAACATTTTACAGATGTTAGCTCATTTGCTTTTTCCATGTAGGTATCATTATTATCATCATTTTACAGAGGGAAACCCAGGCTGAGAGGTTGTGACATGCTCAGGGTCACAAAGCTACTGTGCCGTTTGTTTGATTCATTAAAACTCATTGGAATATTTCTATTATCTAATACATAACTTTAGTTATTATATATTGCTCTTTAATGTGAAATGTCTAATGTGATTTTAAGTTTAAAAAGGACTTTGCAAACCTTCAACTACTGTGTAATGTCAGTTATTTTATTACAAGTAGAGTATGATGTAGTTGATAGAATCTAGGACTTGGAATTAAAACCAAGCCCTGAAACTGTTAGTGCCGCCCTGGGCAAGTCAACTCAGTTCAGCCAGCACTTAGCATCTAGCATGTTCCAGGCACTGTTTTAGGGACAGAGACAAAAAATATCTCCACCCTCCAGGAGCTTACATTTTCCTGGGAGATAATTTGTTTTTGAAGTTCGGGGATGAACAAGTGCCTACCATCCCTGGGGCCCAGCCTATGCAAAGGTGTGGAGACAGGAGATGGGATGTGATGTATAGGGAATAGCCATGAGGCCAGTGGGAGTAGAATGTCGGATTCTTGGAGGAGAGCAGTGTTCAATAGGCAGATTGGGAAGGACTTTAAAAGCCAAACAGAGTAGTTTAGTTATGCAGGGTGTTCCAAAATCTTAACGCAGTTCTAATCCATGAAAGCGATTTAAACCTGCACCAAGAGTTTTGGGACACTTTTATGCTAGGGCCAGGAGGAACCCACTGGAATGCATTGAGCAGGGCAGTGACAGTGTCAGCCTTGTGCTTTAGACAAGGGAGAGCCCGCATACAGGGGGACCAGTTAAGAGGCCATTGCCAAAGTAAATGTGAAAGGTGACACGTGGAAGAGGAGGCCGCTGGTTTTGTGGGCTGTGGTGGCATTAGAGGGCCAGGTGGCACCCTCAGCTTCAGTGAGGGAGTTGCCCCAGGCCGTGGACCATTGGTACTCTGAATTGGTGGGATAGGGAGCCCTGACAAAGGAACAGAAGAGGCTTTCACTCCTATGGGTTGTTGTGAGGATGACACTTTGTTGCCTATGGAGTGCTGTGTCTTTAGGAGATATTAGTCTCATCAGCATTCTTACCAAACTTTGGGGTCTTGAAGAGACCAGGTGGGGGCGGGGCAGAGCTGGGCTACATCGGGCCCTTTTTGTGCTGTTAACATAGAGGTCTGTGTCTGCCCAAAGCAGGGTAGATGGCGGTCATTTCGTGTTGAGGCAGCCCCAGGAGGGCAGGGCATTTAGAGCTTCCAAGAAGGCATTCCAGTCCTGAGTTCTCAGCACAGGTGCCTGGGCTCTCTGGGGCTGGCGAGTCTAGCCCGCCTGCCCGGGCACTGTTGGGAAAGAGTTTGAGGTCTTCTGTCACTCCTGAGAACGAGCCCGGCTGAGGTCACAGAAGCAGCAGGTTGGCAGTGCTCACTTTCGGTAACAGTGGCTCCTGAAGTGAAATGGCCCATTAGGATTTAGGATGATTGTAGCCTCCAGTGGTGGGTCCTGGTGTACCCAGGACATCCTAAGCCTTTTGGAATTGCTGAGGTCCTGGGCCTGGGCTTTCTTCTCCATCTGGTCTCCCTTGGGTGGTATATCTCAGATGCCATAGTGTGTTTTCCTGTAGTGCCTGCTGTTCCTTCTTGGAATGTTCCTTCTTGGACCCGTCGAATGACCTCTTTGTGGGGAAGATACGGGGAGGGGGAGGCATGTTCCACTTGAGATTTCCCACGGTGATGGACCATGGGATGCTTTGGGCTGCACTGGCTGCAGGGACTTGGGGTAGCTGAGGCTGTCTGTCCCTTGTGCCTTGGTTTGGACTTGGTCAGGGAATGGGGAAATGCCCTGGAAAGTGGGTGTTGGAAGTTGCAATGTGGAAGGGCATGGGGCTTGTGGATTTTAGCCTTGCTGGTAACTTCTTTTTCTCTCCCTTTCCCCCAAGCTGGCAGGCTGACGGACGGGCGGCAACAGGACGGACTTTCTGGCTACTGACCATTTAGCTGGTGAGTGGATATGTAGTCTTGAAAGACCCTTTACTTTCTTAGTCCTATTCATCCTGAAAAGTTTGTGATGTCAATTGAGGACATTATTGGAAACTTCATTCCCCACCAGAACTCCAGCTGTTTGTTGTCATTTTCTATGTTCATTTGCCATTGAAGTTGGCATTAATTCTCAGTTAGTTCTGCTTTGGGGAGGGGAGTCATCTGACTTTTGGATCAATTTTTATTTTCCTTAGATGTGGATTAGGTACGTTGTGGGCCTGCTGAATTTGGAACTTAGCCATGTAGATTTTGTCCTTAAGAACTTGTTTTTTTTTGGGGGGGGTTGTTTGTTTTTGGGGTTTTTTTGTGAGGCAGTCAGGGGTAAGTGACTTACTTTCCCAGGATCACACAGCTGGTAAGTGTTATGTGTCTAAAGCCAGATTTGAATTCAGGTCCTCCTGACTCCAAGGCCAGTGCTCTATCCACTGTGCCACCGAGCTGCCCCTGTCCTTAGTAACTTGGAAAAATGAGAGCATTGAATTTTCATGGGCTTTGGGACAGTGGGTCCCTTTCTGGCTCTGCTGAGAACAGAAGAGTATAACTGCACCTAATTTCATCTTTGGCCTTTGGAAAAGAGGGTTGGGCCGGCTGGGGGCCGGCTTCCTTGGCTGGTTGGCTGGCCTGTGGCCTGTGGCATCCAAGGATCCATTCAGGCCACTTGTCAAGAGGCCTTTGTCTTCTTGCACAGACAGCTTGAGGTGTACATGGACTAGAGGGAGAAAGGCCCCGAGAGCACTTCTTGGGGAAGTTCTGAGGAGCAGGTGGAGCCGGGAATTCTTGGACATGGTGGAGAAGGGAGCTGGGCAAGCCTGCTGGCGCTTGGAATCCTCCAGGGAGGGTCTGGAGAGGCTGTGGGGGCCGTCCAGTCCCAGCTGTCCATGAGTAATCCCCCTAGACAAGGCCAGCAAACATTGTTCTCTGGGGCAGCCGTGTGCCCTGCTTCTGTGCCCCGCTTCCCGGGCCTCTGGGATGTCCAGCCCTCACCCCAGAGGCCTTTCTTCTCCTAATAGCAATACTAGCCCAGGCTCTTCTGCTCCCATCCTCCCTTCTTTTCTCCCGGTTCTTTCAGATGCTTCTCATGTCACATGGCCTCTGGGCCCTTCACTATCTGGCTTGCTCTTCTCTAGATACTCTGATCAGTGGCCCTAAGCTGTGGCCCCGCAAGCTAAAGGCGTATCTCCCAGTGAGATCTGACCAGGAAAGAGCATAGCAGGACTGTCAGCTCCCTATTCTTGGAAGCTGTGGAATTAGGAGCCAAGAGGGCAAAGTGGCCGCTGCAGACCACTGCCCACCCTTCTCCTCTGGACTACTCTCATTGTTAAGTGCTAAAAGTATTTACAGACTAATGATTATCAGACAAAAAAGTTTCAATATCTAAGCAACAAGGAAAGGACCATAGAAGAAATATTAACTTTTGTTAAAGTCTGTGTTAAATTTAACAGGGTCCTAATGAGTGCCATATTTTGTGTCCCTTTCTATACTTTTTCCTGTGAACTTAAAAATGTTATTGAGTTAATTTTTTCTATCACAGCGGTTAATCAATAAACATTTATTAAGCACTTATCTTGTAAGCGCTAGGCGCTAGGATTGCAGAAAAAGGCAAAAGACAGTGGGTGTCCTCAGAGCTCACAATCTGATGGGGTGACAACATACAAATGTAGACAGAGTAAGGTATAGACATGTTAAGTAGGAAATAATTAACAGAAGGAAAGCCCTAGTTAGAGGGGTGGGGGAGACTTCTTGTAAAAGGTGGAGTTTTAACCAATTGGTACTTAAAGGAAGCCAGGGAGGTCAGTAGTGGGAGTGGAGCAGGGAGAGCGTTCTGAGCATGGAGGACAGGCAGAGACAATGCCTGGACTGGGAGACGGTGGCCAATGTGCCTGGAAGTATGCCCACGTGGTGGGGAGGAGAGTGGTAGGAGAGGGGCTGGTTATGGAGGGCTTTGTATTTGTTCCTGGAGGGAATATGGAGCCCCTGGAGTTCACTGAGTAGGTGGTGACGGGATCAGACTTTGGGGGCTGAGTGGAGGATGGACTGGAGTGGGAGGAGACTCCAGGCAGGCCGGCCCCTCCCCCCAGAAGCTATGGCAGTTATCCAGGTGGGAGGTGATGAGGGGGTGCACCCAGGGCGTGGCAGTGAGGAGTCCACGATGACTTCTAGGTAGGGGGCCTGTGCCCTCTATGGTAATAGGGAGGGGGCCGGTGTTTAGAGAGAAAGAGAATGAATTCTATTTTGGACATACTGTGGGACATCCAGGCTGAGATGTCCAGTAGGCAGTTGGAGATGCAGGTTTGGAGGTCAGCAGAAAGACGCAATATCAGGTGGCTGGCTCGCTGTGCTTGGAGGCCCGTTGGATTCCTGGGTCCTCTTCAGGCAGACTCTCTGGCCATGACTTCCATGTTGTAGGCATCTGAAATGTGACCTCCTTTGGCATCGCCATGTGCTCGCTTGTCAGGATCTCTTGAGATCCCGAGTCTTTGATCCAGTGCTTTCATTACTACGTCTGCAGGTTTGGAAAGGGCACACCGGTGCACTTATTTATGCCCTTGGGAAGCACATCTAAGCAGTAGGGGAGCCCTGTTTCACTGCCGGGGAGACTGCCATCCGTGCTGGCATGGAGCCATTGAGGACTGAAGAATACTCCTTGGGTTTGGCTGTTGAACCAGTTTCTAATGCCATCCAATGGTGCTGGCCCTTAGCATATTCTCCCTACAAGAGTAGGTTGAGAGGCTTTGTCAAAGGTTTTGCTGAATGGTTAAAAAAAATTTCTTTCCTGTATTGTGTATTTGATTCCTGCATTCCTAAAGCTCCTTCAAGCTTATTAGGCATTTTGCTCCTATCGCCCTGTTAAGCTATATTAATAATGATCATAGTGCCGGGCGCTGTGCTAAGAGCTTTACAATTATCGTCTCATTTGATCCTCCCAACGGCCCTGAGAGGTAGGTGCCATTGTTATCATCCCCATTTTCTAGTTGAGGCAGACAAGGGTGACGGTGACTCGCCCAGAGTCACACCGCTACTAAGTGTCTAAGGCTGGATTTGAACTCAGGACAGGCCCGGTGCTTGATGCACCGTGGTGCTCCTGAGTTGACAAGTGTTATTCCCATAAACATATTCAGAAGTTGTGGCCTGACTAGAGTCACCTAGCTGCTAAGTGAGAGTTGGAATTTGATCCCACACCTGCTGATTCCACGCCCTGTGTTCATTACACTCCCTCTTGGTGACTCAGCAAGAGGGATGCAGTAAAGGGACCGGGGATCCGAGAGTGACCTAGAGTGGGATTGGTGTGTGAGGTGAGCTCTCCTTGAGGGGTTTGCTGTGGGCTGGGACAAGGCGGGCAGAGACATGCACCTGCCTTCAGGGAGCTTACAAACCACTGTGTACAGACAAGGATGGACAAGGAAAACAAGAGCCTCATTAGGGATTCAGAGTGAAAACCTGAGAATGAATGGCCTCAGTCACTCTCCAGGCAGGGCTCCACCTCGGAGCTGATGTCTTCACTGGGGTTATTAGGCAGCCCAGGTGAGAAGCTGTTGGACTTTTTTTTCCCACAGTTCCAGAGAAACATGGAGACCTGCTGTTTTGGGGCCTCAAAAAGAGGTTCTTGTGGTTGGAGGAGGGCTGCGCCTCCATTAGAGAAGCAGGGCCTCGGGGCTTCTTGTGGAAGAGGGGAAGAAGAGAAGCCTGCTGGGAGAGGCTTGTGATTGACCCATCAGATGGGACATGCTTTACCAGATGAACTGTTTTCTGCAAGAAATCCTGTGATTCATCTTAAAAGAGCAGAGAAGATGCTCCATGGCTAGCATGTGGGTTATTAGCCTCTTGGGTCCTGCTCGCTTGAGGATGCACATTGCCCTTTTGTTTCCCTGCCTGGGGCTCAGAATGTTGGCAGTACATGAGAACACACAGGATGAGGAGGCTTGCCTGGCTCACGATCGGCCCTGGTGGCAGGCTCAGCCTCATCACTGACATCGCAGATCCATTGGCCTGTTGAGTTCGGTAGAGCTTTTGTTGAACGATCATCTAGGCGTGGGCCATTCGTCTTTGGTCTTTCTTCTGGCTCAGAGGCCAGAGTGGGGGTCATTTTGGCAGCCCTGGGATGATGCCGACAGCAAATCGAGGCACAGGGGCAAGCTGTTAAGTCTGAAGTTTTGAGACTGTGGATCTCAGTGTTGCTACATAATCTGAGAAGTGGAGAGTCTGCTCCATTCAGATAATTGACTGTTCCTTCCTTGCTTCTTCCCTGCTCCTTTAGTGGCATACCCGGATTGTGTGTAGGTGGGATATCGACAATGAGCTCTGTTGCAGTTTTGACCCAGGAGAGCTTTGCAGAGCACCGCAGTGGACTGACCCAGCAGCAGATTAAAGGTAGGGTGCCCTCACCCTGAGATCTCTGACATCTATTGCATGTACAGTTTTCTGGCCTTTGGTGCTATAAAGCCTTATTGCGTGTTCCATTGGGGTAGGGGATAAGGATAGTGCCTTGGGTGCATCTATTCTGAGAGTCACTGTATATCAAGTTGGTGATTTGGCCATGCAGGATCTGCCCTGCATTGAGCTGTCTGTGTGGCCCTTTGAGTGCTAAGCTCATGATCACTGAACTCTAGTTCTTCAAGCATGCCTAGAGTTGGTTTTCCAGTATTTGTGCCAGATGTGTATGGTTTTGGTCCTGTCTTCACTATTTGACAAAGGAGACTCATTTTCAAGCTGACCACATACAGGATTGAGGTACAGTCTCTGTACTTGAAGCAGGCAGAGCCAGCTTGCCCACATAAGTGTCATGTCAGTTCTGGTCCCTGACCTTGACCTCAACGTACAGAAGGGAGGGTCTATACCAGAGTATTGATGCACCTTGAAACGTCCCATAGGTGATGGGCTATGTTTAAGGGCAGAGAAATGCACTTGGGTCTCAGGTCAGACAACATGATTTTAGCTGCCATTTCTTATAAATTGAACTTAGTGTTTGCAGGTATCTTGATATAAAGGGAGGAAAAAAACCCAGACATCCTTCAATGATTTCTTTTTCACCCCAAAGCCAAAATGTGAATGAATGGAAACTGATAGGTTTACTAGTAGTTGTCATTCATTCTCTGCCCTTTCATTCTGGGATTTAAGTTGTCTTGTGAGGTTTTTTCACTCTGTCTTTGTCTTTACAGTCGCTGCTTTAAATTCAGAAGATGAAAGTGACCCTCCAACTTACAAAGATGCCTTCCCTCCACTTCCTGAGAAGTCTGCTTGTTTGGAAGCAGCTCAGGAGCCTGCTGGGGCCTGGGGCAACAAGATCCGACCCATTAAAGCCTCCATCATTACTCAGGTGGGCGATGCAAGAAGTGTCTCAGACTGGATCCGGGGGGAGAATGGCTCTGACCCAAGGGAACGTACCTGGAAACAGGGAGTGCGTTGGAGCTGTAGAAAACATGACGAGAGCTCCAAAGGAAAGGTTGTGTTTGCAGGCTTAGGGAAGTCAGAGAAGGTTCTTTAGATAGCGATCAGGGAGTAGGGACCTTCCCTGTCTTCTGGCCCATTCTGTTTGAGCCCAACAAGTGATCTGCAGTAGTAGGGAGCTCATTTAATTCTGGGATGGCATTAGTAAATGTTTTTTTCTTAAATTTAGCAGAAATATACCTTCCTTACCCCCCCCCCCAGCTGAACCTGATTGATGCTGGGGTTATGCAGATACTTTCTTAGTCTAGTCAGCCAAGGTCCAGAACAGGCGCTCAAGCAGCTTTCCTCAAATTGGGGCCACTTGGGTTCAGCTTGGGACAGTGAGCTGTTGTCTGGTGGGCTTATGACCTTCCCTTATGCCACGGTTTGAGCAGGTGTTCCATGTGCCCCTGGAGGAGAGGAAGTACAAGGACATGAACCAGTTTGGGGAAGGGGAGCAAGCCAAGATCTGCCTCGAGATCATGCAGAGGACCGGTGCTCACCTGGAGTTATCCCTTGCCAAAGACCAAGGCCTCTCCATCATGGTCTCTGGAAAGCTGGAAGCGGTCATGAAGGCTCGGAAGGACATTGTTGCAAGGCTGCAGACACAGGTCAGTCTGAATTCTTTTTGACCTGCCTGGGCCTGGGCGTGTACTGCTTGTTCTGTGTATGCGTGGGACAGAAGGCAGCAAAAGGCAAAATGGCGTTGGAGTGCCAGTGCCCGCAGCAAGATTGGCATGGCGGTGTCTTCTGTCTCAGTCATGAAATGCTGACTTTACCGAGCAGAGGGAGCCAGCAGTGAGCAGGTGGGTGGGAGGGCTCCTTTTGGCTCTTTGGTGTTGTCTTTGCATTAATAAATTCCAGTCAGTGGCTTATGTCAGGTTTAATTCCTTTGGAGAGTGTGTAGCATTTCCTACCTGTAGCCCCATGCTTCCCTGTCAGAAGCAAGAGTGTGTCTCATATCCCCAGGATCCATAACGGTCCAACATTGTATTTTGGTAATGTCCTCTGTCACTGAACTCAGTGGCTGATGCCCAGCTCCAGGTGGTTGGGTCACAGGCATGGAGCAGCTTCCTGATTTGGCTCCTATAATTCCCAGTTGTTTTTCAGTATACTTTGACCATTCCCAGCTGTAGCATGGAGGGTTTAGTTTGACTGTCTTTTTGGATGAAGCCCCTTCAGCGTGGACTGTTTTCATTGTTTGTCATTGCTACCATTTGGCTGCATGTGACATGAAAAGCTCCAGGTTGTTTTGATTTGCATTTCTCTTGTTATCGATTTGGAGCAATCTTCACGTGGTTCATTGGAATGATTTTGAGAACTGTTTATTCAGACATGACCAGTTCTCAAAAGAAGAAATTCAGGCTGTCAGCAACCATGTGAAGGATTGCTGCAAATCATTAATGAAAAGAGAAATGACAGGATTTGCCAGGAGGTCACTGACCAAGTCCCCAAAGCACAAAATACTGACAGTGGACAAGCCATGGATGTCCCTGCACCGTCGGAGGGGATAAGTCTGAAGAACTCGGAGCCCCTTTGGGTGTTGTCTGTGAGTGGATGCCCAGAGGACCGAGTGCTGCCCCCGTGACCAGCCCAGGGGCCCAGAGATGGAGAAGGGTGTAGCACTGAGGGCTGGGCTGGCCTGCTTGTTTGCTGGAGAGTGGCCTCTGGTCACTGGGAACACTCCTGTTGGTGCCAGTTCCTCTAAGGGTCAGGGAAGTTGGTGCAAGTGGTGCAGCTGAGCTTTTGTTTCTGGTAGATGTCTCTCTCTTGTCTGTCAGATCAGCTCTTTAGCTATGCATTACGTCGATCCAAATTGTAGAAGATCTGTCTCTTTCTAGGATGTGGCTTTCCCATTTGAGTTTCTCACCCTTTTGGAGGTTTACTGTGGTCCATGATCCTTTATACCTGGTGGCTTTGCGGTGTTCCCAGCCAGTGTTGTGGAGGCAGGAGCCTGGAGCCCTCCTCCTAAGAGATAGCATTCTTGCGTTGGTCCGGTCTCAGGGCACAGAGGCCAGGTCTGACTCATGGTTACACCAGCATTGTCCTTTGCTACCACGACTGTGAGTTGTAGTCTCTTTCTTGGGCACTGATGTGGTGACTTCAGGGACACCCGTTTTCAGAAGTGATGGCTTCTGCCCTTTGTCTTGGGCACTTACCTGTTGAATGGATTGTCTTGTAGCTGAGCTGCTTGTATGGGCAAGGAGAGCATCCCGAGTTGTCCTTTACACCCTCTTTTCTTGGGCTGCAGGCTTCAGCAACGGTGGCCATTCCCAAAGAACATCATCGCTTTGTCATTGGCAAGAATGGTGAGAAACTACAGGACTTAGAACTCAAAACTGCAACCAAGATCCAGATTCCTCGCCCAGAAGATCCCAGCAACCAGATCAAGATCACTGGCACCAAGGAGGGCATCGAGAAAGCCCGGCATGAAGTCCTGCTGATCTCGGCTGAGCAGGTAAAGGAGGGGAGCCAGTGGTCGCGGTAGCTCTTTCCCTGAAACTTTGTGTGAAGTGAAGTGATTTGCTAGCAGCATGTCCAGAGAGGTTGTGATCCTGCCTGTAATGTCACAAATACTTAACCTGAAATGTTCATCCTTTTCGCCTTCTGCATATCTTTCTGTTAGATTTATCCAAAACTGACAGAGGGATATTGAAGTCTCCTGTCACTGTCATTTACTGTCTGGCTTGTAGCTCAGTGAATGTTTCTTTATGAATTTGGATGCTATGGCATTTGGAGCATCAAAGTTTAATTTCTGATACTGGTTTGTTGTCAGTGGTTCCTTTCACCGTGATGTTTCCTTGTTTCTCCCTTTTTGTTTTTTGAATGTTTGTTTTTATTTTGTCAGATAGCATATCTGTGTATGTATATCCCTGCAGTTTTATTTTGTGTGTATCTTTGTCTTTTCATTGTGTTTCTCATAAGCCACAGGTTGTGACGTTTTGTTTTTCTTACCTACTCTGTCACTTTTTCTTTTTCATTTTGTTTAAACCATTCACAGTTCAAGTGATGAGAGGTTTATATTTTCTTCCATTTGTCTCTAATATTTTTTCTCTCTTCTACTGTGAAGTTTTACGTTTTTTCAGTTACTTTGGTTTAAAATCTTTGGTAAAGTAGCCATATTCCTACTCTCTTCCTCTCATTGCTGATCCTTCCTGTCCTTTCCCTTTACCGTTTTGCTTATTGGTTCTTTTTCCTTTCCTGTTTTTATGTGGTTATTTAATTCTTCCCATCTTTTTTTCCCTCTCAATTAAATAGATTCCACTTTCCTCTTCTCCTTCAGTTGTCCTGTTCTGTCTACCCCAGGCCCTCATCGTCTAGTTTGTGACCTCTGTAATTTTCTGGTGTCTCTGTTTTCTCTGTATAGAATAGAACTTCCAAGGCGTCCGTTCTGGGCTCTCCCCTCTAGGCAGATTCTGCCACTGCTTTGTGGAGCTTGCCCTGAAGATTGCACCTCTCCACTGTGCCTCGCTCCCTGAACGATGCCAGTTCCTTCAGGGTCCCTGTGATAGGCCCTTTGCTTTCCCTCGCCTACCCTGCTTTCACCTCCCTGATCTGTACCCGCCCCTTGTTAGCCCTTTTCTCTGTTTACCTCCTGAATCCTCTTCCTGGATCTGTGCCCTCCTACTCCTGCAGGTGCCGATTGTCCCCAGGAGTTTCAGCTCCACCCCCCACCCCTACCCTCCCACCCCCCGACTCTCCATCCTCAAGGTAGGGAGTGATGGTTTTGGATTTGACGACGCTTGGTCAAGCACCAAATCCCCCATACAACACTCAGCTCAAGGTCCCCATGTCCCTTTACCCATAGGCACATTCGTGAGTGTAGCCCCCTCCCTCTCCATAGCAGGGCCTCCCTCTTCCCATCCTCTCCCACTCTTAGCCTTCTGAGACCGCAGGGGACACTGTCCCCTCATTGCTACCCTTTGATTTGACCCAGGCACATAACACACTCTCCTCTTCCCTGCATGTACCCTCCCATTTGCCTTGATTGACCTGAAGCCAAGGGGTTGCCAGGTTCTGTGCACACTGGACCGGTCCCATCTCCCCACTTTACCTCCACCTGATTTACGCCTTCTCTGCTGTCGTCTTGTGCACATTTCTTGGTCTCTTTTTTCTGTGTCTCTTCCTGGTGCTGCTGCTTGCTGCTTCAGTCCTTCATCCCTCTGGCATTTCTGTTGTCTGGGGTGTTGAAGAAGCAGATAATCTCTTCGGGTCTGATTCTCTTTCTAAGAACGTTTCACGTACCTCTTTCTTTTCATTTACGGTTGAGCTCAGATGTGCAGGATCTCTCCTGGGCTGCGCCCTGCGCTCCAGGCTCTTCAGAACCCCTGATTCCATTCCCCTCTGTGTTTCCTGGTGGTGCAGAACAAGTTTGTGCTCATTGAGTCTCCTTTGTGTTTGAAGGCCTTTTTCTTGACGGCTTGCAGAATTCTGAGTTGAGTTGTCGAATTTTGGGGTTTGTAGCCTTTGGTTGTTTTTCCTAGAGGCCGCCATTCAGCAGTTCTGCAGTTTGCTTCTGTTACTTCTGCATTGTGAATGGTCCCGTCGTGTTCCTCTGGTACCTCAGGTGGTACTAAAGTTGTCTCCATGCGTCTTGAGGGCCAAGAGCATGTTTCTTTTCATAGTCTACTTTTTCTGATGATCCTTCACTTTTGTGTGTTTGCGTTCTTTTGTTTCTTCAGACTTGCTCTTGCAGACTCCCTTTTTTCCTGTTTCGCCCCTTGTTTTTGCTGTGTAGGCCATCGTGATCATTTCTCTTTGAAACCACTCAGGAATCGTGTGTCCCACAGGGTCCTCTGTCTTGAGTGTTGAGTCATTGTCCTTTGTTTTGTGGTATTCACGGTTACCAGGATCTGGAGGCCATGCTTCCTTGGGCTGTGAATGTTTTCCCTTTCGGTTTACCTGCTTATGTTCCAGGTCCCTGAGTATTCTTCTTCCTGGGATCTTTGACCATTTCAGTCTTTTTCCCCTTCCTTTCTGACTCCCCCTCGCAGTCATGATGATTTCCCTTGGAGCTAGATCTCAAAGCATCTCCCCTTTCTTCCACACTGGCAGTTCATGGATCACCCAGGTGTGTGTGCTGCAGGTGGCTTTTTGGGACCAGAGCTGAGTGGAGCTAGATGCGGTGCTGCGGACTCTGGTACAGGGTGCTCTCACACTGGTGTGACAGAGCTGCTCTCTGTAGCTTGGGTCTCTGGGGTCTGTTTGAAGTCCAGACAGGGGGCTTGCCCCCTTACCTCTGTTCCTGCACTGTCCTACAGAGAGCTTTAGCAGCACAGAATGATGCTGCAGTGACCCTGGCAAACTTCAGCATCCGGAGCACGGGAAAGAGGGAGGAAGCCTGGAGGGGGGGGGGGCTGGGGCGGCTTCCCTGCCAGGAACGTCCACCCACGGGGAACCAGGCTGAGTGTGCTCACGGTGGGCATTGGTTCACAGTGCTTGTTTTTGTCTCTTAATCTTGACACGACAGAGAGGTTGTGGGGATGGGGAAAAATGCTGTCTGCCTGCCATTGGGTTCAGCAGTGTTTGGGGCTGTGTGTGTGTGTGTCTGTGTGTATGCATGCTTGTGCTTGTGAGTGTACTCATGTGTACATGGTGGGGGGTGTACATGTACGTGAGTGTAGGTGTGTGTTCTTGTGAGTTTATGTACACGTGTGTACCTTATGTATGTATGAGTGTAAGTGCATGTGTGGGTGTATTGTATGTGTGTGTGCGCGCGTGTGCACATGTGAGTTGTGAGTAGCTTTATGTGTGAGTAGTTTATGTGAATGTGCGTGTGTGGCGTGCCCATGCTGTGGTGTTCCCCACAGGACAAGCGTGCGGTGGAGAGGCTCGACGTGGAGAAGGTGTTCCACCCGTTCATCGCAGGACCCTACAACAAGCTGGTGGGTGAGATCATGCAGGAGACGGGCACACGCATCAACATCCCGCCGCCTAGTGTGAACCGCACTGAGATCGTCTTCACCGGAGAGAAGGAGCAGCTGGCGCAGGCCGTGGCCCGCATCAAGAAGATATACGAGGAGAAGGTGGGTTGGGTGGCACGGACTGACCGGAGTGGGGGGGTGGTCCTGAGCCCCCACGCTGCCTTATGACCTTTTGGCCCCTGGCCCTCGCCCCAAATGCGTCTTTGGGTCTCGGGACCTAGGGAGGGGAAAGGAGCCTTTAGAGAATGCTTCCTTCCATTGGAATGAGCAGCTTCTCTCTGCTTCCTGCCAAGACCCTGGCGTCCAAATCACCTAGAAGGGGTCCCTGCAGCCCCAGAGAGACCTCAGAAGCCACACCGACGGGGGCTCTCCACGGGCTCGGGTCGCCGTTTGTTTTGCTCGTTGCTGCCTCTTTCCGGGACGAGCCCTGCAGCTCTTGGTCCATATTTCTGGGGTCTAAGGCTCATTTCCCGAGCTCTGAGAGCTCTTCGGGAGTCTCTGGACCCCATCCCTCCTGTCCTTTCTGCTCTACTTGGTGACCCCACCAGCTGTGCTTGTCCCCAGAAAAAGAAGACCACCACCATCGCAGTGGAGGTGAAGAAGTCTCAGCACAAGTACGTCATCGGGCCCAAGGGCAACTCCCTACAGGAGATTCTGGAGAGAACCGGAGTGTCCGTTGAGATCCCCCCCCCAGACAGTGGCTCGGAGACGGTGATCCTGCGCGGCGAGCCGGAGCGGCTAGGGCAGGCGCTGACTGAAGTCTACGCCAAGGTGAGCCCAGCACACTAGGGCTTTACACCGCTAGCCTCACGAAGGCTGGCAGTCCACGCCTGACGGGTTGACTCTCTCCTTCTCCCCAGGCCAACAGTTTCACAGTCTCCTCTGTCTCTGCTCCATCTTGGCTTCACCGTTTCATCATAGGCAAGAAAGGGCAGAACCTGGCCAAAATCACTCAGCAGATGCCAAAGGTAGGGATGCGACCTCGTCCATCTCTCCAGTGCTGCCTGCATCTGGCAGGGGGTGGGGGGTGTCCAGGTAGGCCTGGACGTTTGGAGATGCTGGGCCTTCGGTGTGAAGGAAGGCTAGTAGACTACTTGGCAGGGCCAAGTCACAGGCCGTGTTAGTGCCTTTGGACATAGTGCACAGAGTGCCACCACGGTGACTCATCACGCAACGCTTGGGGCGGGCCTCAGCATGCCCCTGCCCCCCCACCCCAGCCTTCCTTCAAGCTGCTCTTGGTGAGTGACGGCTCTTTGTGAATTGGCCAGGGAGTCAGAGATGTTCAGCGGAACAGCTGTGTTACGGCGGATGGGAGCTTGGTGGGGATTCAGGCCCAGAGTTGGCTGAAGTGTCCTCTGAAATCCTGGCTCCATTGGTTAGGTCTCTGTTACCCTGGTGGACGAGCGCTGAGGAGAGCAGCTCCCCTTAGCCCCCACGCAGACTGGGAACATTCACACCGGGGTGCCTTTCAGGGTGTTTTGATCTGGTTTTAGGAATAATTTCAGAAAGTAGAGGTTTCTTTCTGGTCCAGGGGGGTTCCTTCACCTGGGGGTGAATGGGTCTGAGAATCCTTTTAATTTAGAATTTCCCGAGGGACAATGTTTGTTTCTTGCTCAGGCCCCTGGTTTATGTACAGTATTGAGGGGGTATGTGCCTTCGTCAAGCAGTGTTCAGGCAAGCTGAGAGCCACGTGCCCAGCTTTCCCACTGTTTGCTCTGGTCCGCTCTTGGCAGTCTGCGTCCCTACTGTGTCTCCCTGCTGCCCTGGATGTCCTCTGGAGGAGTGACCATCCTAAAGATGCTGAGAAGTGGGCAGTGGCATTGGCTAAGAGGGTCAGTCTTGGAATTGGAAAATCTGAGTGCCAGTGCCCACTCTGCCCCGTACTAGGGTGAACCTGGATGCTTTTCAACTCCACGTGCATTTGTGAAGCACTTGCTCTGTACCAGGCACTGTGCCGAGTTCCAGGAAGACAAGAAAATCACAGTTCCTACCCTCAAGGAGCTTGCAGTCTAATGGAGCACCTGTCCCTTCCCGTCTATGGGGCTCAGTGTCTTTATTGGTCTAGAAGAGGCTCTCCCAGTTCCCTTTCTGCTGTGACACTCTGTAATTCGTGGTTGTTGTCCCGTGTCATGGGAATGCATCTTAGTAGAAGTGAGGAGAGGGTCTGGGGCAGGTGCCCCTGGCACACACCCCAGTGGTTACTTGGGAGCTGCGCTCTTTGGCTGTTGGAGGTTGGTGACAGTGTTGGTTTGAGGTGGGCGCTACAGATTTGGCACTGGCTTTCCTCTTTTGGGGCTTGCAGGTTCATATAGAGTTTACTGAAGGAGAGGATAAGATCACACTGGAAGGACCCACCGAGGATGTGGATGTGGCTCAGGAGCAGATCGAGGCCATGGTCAAGGATCTGGTAAGTCTCCGTGGAGGGTCTGAATGCCAGTGTCTGGGCCCAGAGGGCATCTGGGTGGTGGGAAGAAAGAGAGGAGCCTTTCAGATTGTTAACTGTCCCTGAAACCCAGGGATTAAATAAAAATGTAATGTCCAGCCCCATCCCCGCGGTGCCTTCCCCAGGCTTCCTGCCTTGGGCTCACTCTTGTCTGCTATCTTGCCTTTTCTTTGTTTGGTTTGTTTTGGTTTGGTTTGTTTTTTCAGGCAGTTGGGGTTAAGTGACTTGCCCAGGGTCACACAGCTAGTAAGTGTCAAGTGTTTGGTCTGAGGCCGGATTTGAACTCAGGTCCTCCTGACTTCAGGGCCGGTGCTCTATCCACAGCGCCATCTAGCTGCCCCAGTGCTGTCTTGCCTTTTCTCCTGTTCCTTCTTCCTCCCTCTCTGACTGGGGGCTGTAAGCATCCCTGCTTTTGCGGAGCTGGCAGCAGCGGCATGGCTGCTCTCCCGTGGTGCTCATAGAGTGGCAGGAATGTCTCCTCATACAGCCTTCCCGGCCTTTGTTTGAACCCAACCCTGCCTCCTGCTTTGGGGTGGCTTTCCCTCCTAGAGAGCCAAAACTGTTCTTTTGGCAACTCCTTGTTCTGCCCTGAACGTCCTGCTCTTTCAGGCCACAAAGCTGCCTAGTCTTGTCCTGCCCCGCCCCGTCACCTCTTCAGTCTTGTGAGCTTGGGATGGCCCACCATTGTCCCCTCTCCTTCTCAGGGCGCTTCTCGTCAGGTGCTTTCTGGCCTTGCAGAATACCCTGGTGTTAATACCTTTCTGCTTCAGCTGCTGTTTAGCCACGCTCCCTCCATGTTGGACTAGAGAACCCGGTCATAAGACTTTCCCTCCAGCCCCTCACCTTCATCACAGCAGACGTGGCCCGCTGAGCTCTCTGAACTTCGGTTCTGTCCGTCGGGCGTTGGCTCTTCTCAGCTTTGTGTCGTCTGCGGATACGACAAGGACGCTGGCAGGGCCTTCATCCAGATCACTGCCCACGGTGCTGGCGCAGATGCAAGCGCTGTTGTCATTGGCGGCAGCTCTCCTCGGGGTCGGGCTGCCCAGCTTCTCTGGCGTCTGGCAGGAGAACAACATGGGATCCAAGCTAATTCAATCCACAGACTTCCCTGGGGCCGTTAGACCTTCCTCTAACAAGAGGAACGTAGTACTCTAGAATTTTGCCCCAAAGTCACACTCATTGAGCTGCACTTGAGAGTTGACTTTCTTCCCTTTCTTGAAAATGGAATCCAGCTTGTTGGTTCTTCTTAATGTCGTGCCATGTATGCCTCCCCTTCATCACTGCACAACTCTGCAACCCTTCATTACCATAGGGTGATTTTGTTGGCTGGACTACAATTGTTGGGTGTCCAGATTGTTCTATTTTTTTTTTTCTGTTTTTTGTTTTTGTGTACAGAGAAGTCCCTTTTGAATTTTTTTTTCTTTATCATCATTTCAGGGTAAAGTCTTAGCCATGAAAGTACTGGGTCAGATAAGGTTAATTTTCTGACTTATACTGCATATTAACCATGTAGGTTTTTTTTCTTTTTAAAAAAATTAATATTTTGTTTTTTCCCCAATGATATGTAAAAGCAAGTTTTAACAATTTTAAAAATTGTTGAGTTCTAAATTCTCTCCCTCCCTTTTTCCCCTCCCCGCTTCATTGGCAAGGTATGCAATTTGGTATCCATGTATAGACATGCAAGACGTTTCATGTTAGTCATGTTGTGAAAGAAAACAGACCCAAAAACCGCCGGCAAAAAAGTGCTTTGGTCTGCAGGTGGACTCCATCAGTTCTTTCTCTGGAAATGGATAGCATTTTTCACCTTCAGAATTGTCTAAGTCATTCACAATTGATCATTATACAGTATTGCTGTAACTGTATGCAATGTTCTCCCAGGTCTGCTTGTCCTTTGCATGAATTCATGGAAGTCTTTACAGGCTTTTCTGAGAACATGCTACTTGTCATTTCTAGCACAGTAATCTTCCATCCCAGTCACATACCACAACTTGTTCAGCCACTCCCCAATTGGTGAGCATGCCCTCAGTTTCCAATTCTTGGCCACCACAAAAAGAGCTCTATAAATATTTTTGTCCATGTGGGTCCTTTTTCCATTTTTATGATCTCTTTCGGGTACAGAACCCATAGTGTATTGCTTGGTCACAGGGTGTGCATGGTGGTTTTATAGCTGTTTGGGCACAGTTCCAAATTGCTCTTCAGAGTGCTTGAATCAGGGCGTACCACTTCACCAACAGTACATTAGTATCTCAGTTTTCCTGTATCCCTTCCAACATTTGTTGTTTTCCTTTTCTGTCACGTTAGCCGATCTGGTAGATGTGAGGTGGTGCCTCGGAGTTGTGTTTAATTTTCATTTCTCTCATCAGTATCGACTTAGAGCATTTTTCTCATATGACTATAGATAGCTTTGATTGTTTTGTCGGGAAAATTGCCTGTTCGTATTCTTTGACCATTTATCAATGGAAGGATAGCTCTTATTTCTATAAATTTGACTTTGTTGTCTATATACTTGAGAAATGAGGTCTTTATTAGAGAAACTTGCTGTAAATTTTTTTTCACAATTATGATTGCTGTGTATTGCTCTCCTTCCTGTTTTCCCCTTATATCTTTCACCCTTTCTATCCTCAAAAAGTGATTTGCTTCTGACTTTTACCTCCCCCTGTCTGCCACCCCCCCCATACCCTTCCCCTTCTACTTCCTGTAAGGTAAAGATAGATTTCTCTACCCAACTGAGTTTGAACCACTTCCAGTGAGAATAAAGTTCACATACTCCCCCACCGTATCTTCCTCTCCACTGTAAAAGCTCTTTCTCACCTCTTTTATGTCAGATAATTTACTTCATTTTACCTCTCCCTTTCCCCTTCTTCCAGTGAATTCCTCTCTCTCATTCCTTATTTTTATGTCTTTGGATAATCATCCCATCATATCCATGTAGTTTGTTAAAGCCAACAACTTCACCTCGCATTTAAACTCAGGTAGCGAAGGATGTGTCCTTAGAGGTCGTGAGAGACTATAGCAGGCTAGGGAGTTCTGGGGTATCTGATTCCAACATAACTCAGAGGGCCCAGGATTGAGCAAGAAGAGTTGTGGCTGGGACCTGGATTTGGATCCTGCTTTTGGTGTTCTCAGCTCCTGTGAGTTCTAATTTTGCATGCTTTCCCTCCACAGATTAACCGAATGGATTATGTTGAGATTAATATTGACCACAAGTTTCACAGACATCTGATTGGAAAGAATGGTGCCAACAGTGAGTCTGATGAACTGTTGTTTCTCTATCTCTTGGTTTTCTTTTGAGATGTGGCAAGTATCCCATAGGCTTTCTTGAGGTCTTCCTGAAGTGTGTAGATCATCAGAAATGGCTTTTCTTTAGGATCAGCCATATGGCGGTGTGGAGCAGCCCAGACTTTGGCCTCAGTGGCCAGAAAATGTGTCATTCTTTTTTGTGGCCTTCATGTTGGGCGGCAGGGATCTCTTATTGAATGGGACTTATCTGGGTTCTTGTTGGTTCCGAAGGCCTGGATATTCCACCTGAAGGCAACGGGAAAGTTCAAACTCTCCTTGTCCTGATAGCCAGTTCCTGTAGGCTGCAACCTTTTGTTTCTTATCTGGGCTCCTGACTCCCCTGTAATTTTGACAGCTGTGGCTATAATTGAGGAAATATTGCTTCCCTGTGAGGAAGGAGCCAGCTGTTTTCTAGATCAGGGGTCTTACCTCCTTTTTGTGTCCTGGACAACTTAGCCAGTCATGGGTATACTAATGGACTGCTTCTCAGTAAAAGTTCATAGGATTATCAAGGACACCAGTTATTTCTCAATACAGTTAGTAAAATAGAAGTAAACCGATTTTATGGACACCAAGAACCCCAGCTCTCGAAGGAAGCTCTCCTCTCCCCCATTATCCAGTTTTGAGTGTTGTCAGTAGATAGCAAGTCTGTATCCTGAATGCACAAGTCTTTTTTGTTTTGTGCTTTTGTTTATTAGGCAGTTGGGGTTAAGTGACTTGCCCAGAGCCACACAGATAGTAAGTGTCAGGTGTTTGGTCTGAGGCCGGATTTGAACTCGGGTCCTCCCAACTTCAGGGCTGGTGCTCTATCCATTGCACCACCTAGCTGCCCCTAGGTGTGTGGTCTTAAATCCTGGAGTTGTTTGTTGTGTTCCCTCTCACTGGAGGACCCTCGTTCCATCAGTCCTTGGAAGGTCCAAGGGGCAGCAAAGGAGGGTCCCCAACAAAGCATTTCATCAGTGTCCTCCCAGACAACAGGCACTTGCAGTTCTGATGGCGGTTCTGTGGAAGCCACCTTCTCCTCCGTGTGTTCCCCCGTCCCGGGGTCACTGTGCTGACCATTGGCCGTTGGTAGTTGTGCGTGCTGTGCTACAGCAGGCCACGTCTGGCACCAAAGGGGACGACTCTTCAGAATGTTCTCACGCTCGTCATGCTGCGTGAAGGACCAGAATGACAAACCACCATGCTGTAGAAGGAAGCTTGTTGTCGGAAATAACGTCTTCCGCCGACCTCATGCGCGTGTTTTTGAGAAATAGAATTGTACCTTTTTGCAGCACATATTTAAAGCAGATATTGGCAGTTTGTGTTTGCACTATACATTTATTTGCTCCCAGGAAAGGAGAACAGACGCTTGACTGCATCTCTTTGGGAGTGGAATGCATCTGTCTGTCTGCCCAGTGTTTTACTTCAAGGGTGATGATCTCTTTTAGTGAAGGGGTGGTTTGTTTGTTTGCCCTGCAGTAAACAGAATCAAAGATCAGTACAAGGTCTCTGTGAGAATCCCTCCTGATAATGAAAAGAGCAACTTGATCCGGATTGAGGGGGACCCTCAGGGCGTCCAACAGGCCAAGAAAGAGCTGCTGGAGCTCGCGTCCCGTATGGTGAGCCTTGGACTCGTTAACCCCACCTCTGCATGAGTCCTGGTCCCTCCCTAAAGGAGCCCGGTGTTGGCCATCTCTAGCCTTAACAGATACACTTGAAATTGGACGCTCTATAAGTGTGCGTCTTGAGGGACTGTGGGTAATAATTAAATCCCCCGAATTTTGCACTTAAAGAAAAGCTCCACGTGATGGAGGAGGAGCTTCTGAGAGAAGAATGCTTCTTGCATCCTTCTTGGGGCTGCTCTGCCAGAAGCACAAACTTGGGAATCTTTTGTAAAATCAGTTGAAGATTGTGCTGAAATTAACCTCCTGAAAGAGAGGTGTGGGGCTAGAAGACCAGAACAAGGCCGCCTTTAGGAGATATGGTCAGTGTAGGGGGTTTGCATGCCCATGCCCTAGGAAAGGGGAAGCCTCTGGGAAGGGAGAGGGGCGTTAAAAAGAGAAGACCCTTTTCAAAGCCCAGTCTAAAGCCTGAGGGGCCCAGAGTACTGACCAGATCGAGTCTTTTGAGGAGCACTTTAGGTGACTCCGCTGAGCTGGTGTAGAACCTGGTAAAGTTCTAGACTGGCTGGGGTTGGTATTTTCCCTGCATAGCTCTTGTGGCTTTTTGTTCTGTTCGAGCCTCCCGGGTTTCAGGGGGCAAACCTTCCCTGATCCAGGGTCTCACCGTGGGGGGACTCCTCTCCAGTTTTCTGGTGCTGGCCACCTACCGTCCCCTGGAGCCACAGGGGACTGACCTCACCACATCCTGGGCCTCGTTTCCGGACCTGGACCTGAACGCCTGGGTGTGCTTTTACCCAGCTGATTTTTGTTTATGTGTGTGATTAAAAGACTCTGAAGACCTTCCGTCCCCTGGTGACCTTCAATAACGCTTGTATTTCTAGGAAAACGAACGTACCAAGGACTTAATCATTGAGCAGAGATTTCATCGAACAATCATTGGGCAGAAAGGTGAACGAATCCGTGAAATTCGTGATAAATTCCCAGAGGTGAGATTTCATGGGGGTCTCTAATGCAATGGGGTCTTCTGTGGCTTCGAGAAACTGGGGGTCTGGAGACCCTGCTGACCGGCCCCTAGACAGAGGGGAAGCCTTCTTTATGAATGGCCTTGGCATGGGGAAGGACGCATCAGGCCCTCTGCCCAGCTTTGTGGGACCCATGAGCCTCCACACCAAACTGATTGGTGATTATCTCTTCCAGGTCATCATCAATTTTCCAGACCCAGCCCAAAAGAGTGACATTGTACAACTCAGAGGCCCCAAGAATGAGGTGGAGAAATGTACCAAGTACATGCAGAAGATGGCGGCGGATCTGGTAGGCCGAGGGCTTGGCTGTGCTTCTGTCTTGTCTTACCTGGGGGTGCAGGGCTCTGAGACCAGCAGGGTATCGTGTGACACGTGGAACGAGACGCTGGTGTATTTGACTTCCTTCTTTTTCTTAATCGTGCTTGGCTCAGTTGGGAAATCAAGAACATTCCCACTGATGTCACTTCGCTCTGATGGGAGTGATGTGATAATGCCCCTGCTCCGGTTGCTGAGGTGATGTCTGGTTGTCAGTCACTGGTGTTGGTGATAAGGAAGGAGTTCGACAGTTTGGGACTGGTTTTTTTCCTACTTCCCCACCAGTGGATAGCCTTGTGCAGCCATCTGCTGGGCAGTGGGCTTTCCTTCATCAGTGCTCCATACCTGAGGATAGATCCTTCCCCTCCACATCCATTTCCTTTTATTTTATCTAGCTGTCAAATCTCCTTTTTTTTGTCTGCCTCCCGTTTAAGTAGAGTTAGAGGCAGAGAGAGAGAGTATGGGGCTTTCTTGAGTAGGGGATCAGTCTGGTTGTGCTGACAGGTTTGCTGCTCAGAGCTCTCCAGGCGGGGAAAGGAACACATTTACAGCAGCGCTTGTGGCCCCAAGAGAGGAAATGGCCAACAACTCTTGCCATGTGGCCCTTCCAGACCAGGATAGCTTCTGATCCTGTCTGGGGCTTACATCCGTCTTGTGCTGCTGGGAAGGTCTGGATTCTCAGGGGCCGTCTGGGGGCATTTACCTGAGAGCGCTGCCTTGGCATGAGGGGCCAGGCTTCTGAGAGATGGGCGGTTTGGGTTCACGGTCATCAGTCTCCTCCCTTCCGATCATACAGTCCAAGGAGCAGAAATCAGTCACAGACATTTTAGGGGAAAGGTTCCTCACTCTTGTGGTTACTTACTGATTTGCCTTTTTTTTTTTTTAGGTTGAAAACAGCTATTCCATTTCCGTTCCAATCTTCAAACAGTTCCACAAGAACATCATCGGGAAAGGAGGTGCAAACATCAAAAAGGTGACGAAGTCCCCTGTCTTTGCTCTGCCTTGTGCCAGGGCCCAGCCTTAGAGAGGGGTGTGGAAGCAGGGTGAAAACTCTCCCACCCTGGCAGCCTTTCATGCAGGTCTCTTCCTTTGTAGATCCGTGAAGAAAGCAACACCAAGATTGATCTGCCAGCAGAAAACAGTAACTCGGAGACCATCGTCATCACAGGCAAGCGAGCCAATTGTGAAGTTGCTCGAAGCCGGATCCTTTCCATTCAGAAAGACCTGGTGAGGGCAGGGGGCAGGGTGGGGTGAGTGGGTGGGCAGAGCCTTGCTCCCACTCCTGGAGAGAGCCTGGTTCCTGTGCTGTAAAATTGACAGGACTTGGGAGTAGTTTTGGATTTTTATAGGTCAGATTGGTTTTATAAACAGTATTTTATTGTCTTGCTGTTCAGTTTGTTTTTAATTGGGGATATTTTTCTTGCCATAAATTTTCTCTGGAGTTTTAAAATCAAGATGCTGCAAAGATACATGAAGTATCTAAGGAAAATTGATGTGGGTCAAGCCCACCCCAATCTGGATGTGTGTAGAGAGGCTCCCTAACATGGCCACAGACTGCCTGCACATGAGGGATATGACAGGGGCTCTTACATAGATTCCTACCACCACTTCTTAACCTCCCTCTCCCTCCTATCGACATTCTGTAAACAGCCGCCGTTTGGTCCCCTCAAAGAAAGTTAAGTGAGCTCATCCTCCTCCTCAACAGTTTCATTAGGCAATAAAACAGCTTGAAGATTCTGGGCCCCTTGATCTCATGCCCGTGGGCCATGCCCAGCACTCAGCCTGTTGGGCGTAGCAGTCAAATATTTCAATAGAACCTAGTCTGATTCTCTCCCCGCCCCAGCGCTTTCTTGTCTCACAAGATAACTACCTGCTTTGTTTTGGCTTAGGCTAACATTACAGAAGTGGAGGTGTCCATTCCATCCAAGCTTCATAACTCCCTCATTGGCACCAAAGGCCGCTTAATCCGTTCCATCATGGAAGAGTGTGGTGGGGTGCACATTCATTTTCCCACCGAAGGCTCGGGCATCGACACCGTGGTCATCAGGGGCCCTGCCCCAGACGTGGAGAAAGCCAAAAGACAGTTGTTACACCTGGCAGAAGAAAAGGTGAGTGGGGAAGAGAAAACGTCCCAGGGAAGTGAGGCTTGTTGGGGGAGCAAGGGGGTGGAGGCCCACTTTTATTTCTTCTGTGCCAGCAGATATGACCACCCTTCCCTGCATGTCTGCTTCTCTTTTTCTTGGCTTGCATGGCAGGTCACTGGTCACCTAAGCCTCTGGTGGTGACCTGAGCTGAGGGTCCAGGAGTGCAAGCAGGAGAGGGAATGGGAAAGGCACAGCTCATGGGGGCAGCAGGACAGGCTTCTGGTGGCGTCTTCTCCCCTTGGAGCGTTCGGCTCCTGGGGGCATCGTATGAGTTAAGGCCTCGTGACGCAGGCCTTTGATACTTGTCCAGTATGTACTTGTGGTCTCTGTAGCACCTTCAGTGCCATGTCTTGTTTGTGGGACCTTAGATCTTTCACCTCTTTCAGGCTCCTGGTATCCTGCATAAAATCGGTGTGCAGTTGAGCTCCCAGACCCTATGCTACCCTCCTTGTTTTCTGCACCTCAGGGTGGTGGAGCAGTGCCCAGGGCTGGCAGTAGTGGGGAGGTGGGCATGGGCCTTGGGGCCCTTCTCGTTCGTGACTCACCTACCCTTCTGGGGATATCATCCCAAAAGCCATTTCATTGTCTCTTGAAACTTAATTGTCCTAAGTGAACAGGTTGTCTTTGAAGACTTATTCTGATTGGCTGCCCATGTGACTGCCGAGTAAAGCCAGGGCTTGTTGGGTCTTTGCCTTTAGCCCTGACTGTGGCATCGCCTGGTTCTAAAGCACGGAAGCAGAGGAGGCACTGGGGCCTGGTAGACGATCGGTGCGGGACATGGGAGAGAAGGGAGGTGGGCAGAGGGTGAGCAGAGAGTTGAGGACCGAACCGGGTGTGATCAGTGCTGGCCCTGCCCCCCCTGGACTTCAGCAAGGCCCCGCCTATCTGCTCACACCCCTGCCTCCCCCTCACAACTTTGCATTTCTGCTAAGGCGGGGGTTGGGGAAGTGGGGCTTTTGTCATTAGAAATTAGCAGGACAAATGAAAAAGGCAAACAGACTCATTATCCCGGTGAAGGCCGAAGCTGCCGGGCCTCCTTGGCCTCTGGACAGGTTGGAGGTGGGCGGCTGAGCCATGGCCCTCGTTCCGGAGTGTCTTGTCTGCAGGGGTATGTGCACGTCTAACGGGTTAAATGGAAATTGTGTTTGGCAGCAAACCAAGAGTTACACGGTGGATCTCCGCGCCAAACCAGAGTATCACAAATTCCTGATTGGCAAAGGGGGCGGGAACATCCGTAAGGTTCGTGACAACACGGGAGCCCGGATAATCTTCCCCACACCTGAAGATAAGGATCAGGAGCTGATAACGATCATTGGGACGGAGGAGGCTGTCAGAGAGGCTCAGAAGGAACTGGAGATTCTCATTAAAAACCTGGTAAGACTCTTGGTTTCTCCTTTGGGTCTCTCAGCGCCACCTAGCTGCTGCTCCTTTGTGGTGACCACACGACAAGCACCTTCACTGATGGTTGATCTGAAATATGCGGTCATCCTGGAAGGGCTGTCATCGTCCTGGCTTGGCCCGTGATGTTGCCTGCTCGGGGTGGGCCTCTGGGACGGCTCGTGCCCCTATTTCCTCTGTCTTCTTTTTTTTCTTTTTTTGCTTATCTCTCTGTGAGTGATCACTTCTTTTGATCTTTAACACCTGATCTTTCCTTTCTTCGTTAGCACAGTAACTCGTATAGCCCTTAAAAGTCTGCTGACCACTTTACATACGCTTTACATTTGAGATGGCGTCATAGGACCTGATAGACCTTGACTCGTTTGATGTGGACTTGAAAGGAAATGGGATTTGGAAGCAGTGCCCCATGAGGGTTTTCAGCCTGAGAATTCATTATCCAGCCTTCCTTTCCCTGACTTCCTCTTTTCTGTAGGATAACGTGGTAGAAGACTGCATGCTGGTGGACCCTCGGCATCACCGCCATTTTGTCATCCGAAGAGGCCAGGTCTTACGGGAGATTGCTGAGGAGTACGGTGGTGTGATGGTTAGCTTCCCCCGTTCTGGTACCCAGAGCGATAAAGTGACACTCAAAGGAGCCAAAGATTGTGTGGAGGCAGCCAAGAAACGCATCCAGGAGATCATCGAGGACTTGGTGTGTAGTCTGGGGGAGGGGCGAGGGGCTTATGTTCTAACTTGTCAGGTCACACGCCTTAGGCAGGTGCTAGCCAGACCTTGTTGAGAACTCCAAGGGCCCAGAGAAGGGTGAGGAGCATCAGATGGGGGCCTGGGACTGGGCAGAGGTAGCCAGTGAAGGGACAGTTAATCTAGGCAGTCTAAGACTCAGTCACAGGGCTGATGAGGAGAGCCTTTGAAAGTAGACCATTGCCCTCTTTAGAGAAGCAGGAGTGTTTGATTATTTCTTGAGCAAGGACCTGACCTGTGCCGTGGCAGATGCCAAGGTGCCAAGCTGGCTGTGCTCTAGTGGCATGGCTGGATTGTGTGGGGTTGAAGCTGTAGCTGCCTAGTGAAGGAGGTTTGCCCTCTATTTAACCAACAGTTGACCACAGTGGGGAGGGGAGGATCGGTGCTTTGGAAGGTGGCAGGAGGATACCAAAGCTGGCCTTTCTCTGCTGCCTTGGCCTCATACTAAATCTAGTACATTGCAGAGATGATCAGAAAGGATTGACGTTTCAGATAATCTGCTTGGCTCTGATCTCTAATAATTGATTCTCTGTTTCCATGAAAAGTGTTTGGTACTTGGCAGGCAGAACAGAGCACTGTGATCCCCATCTCCCAGCGATGAGGGAACGAAGCTTCGACCCAGGCATTTGTGGGATCCTTCCGAGGACCTCCTGTGGCAGCTACCATGCCTCACTTATTTACTTAAAGGAAGATGTCATGGCAGGCGTAGCCCAGTACAGATGTCTCTTTCTTTTTGTTTTTTGGCCGACATGCAATGTGACCATCCCTACAGCATTTAACCACTTGTTTTTGATGTTTTCTGTTCCACCATGACCATGAAGGAGGCCCAAGTGACAATGGAGTGCGCCATCCCCCAGAAGTATCATCGCTCCATCATGGGCCCCAAAGGGTCCCGAATCCAGCAGATCACTCGCGACTACGGTGTCCAGATTAAGTTTCCTGACAGGGAGGAGAACCCAGGTGTGAGGCAGGGGGAGGGCATTTTCATTTCCATGTTGGTTCTGCATAGAACACTGTTTTAAATGTAGATATTATGGTACCGGCTGGTTACAGCGTGTTTTATGTGCATGAGCTGGTTCAGAACACTCAAGTGACTTTGGTCCCCCAGCTGCAGTGCGGGAGAGGGGACAGGCTGTGTAGCAGTTGTGCCTATTTTTCTAGCACTTTACAGTTTACCAAGCGTCTTTACCACAGCCAGTCCTCAACACCTTGTGTGAGTGTCGTCGTCCTTCTGTTTCACAACAGATACATGTTAGAGCTTGGATTCCAGCTCACAACTGCGCTCTTTCAGCCCAGTGTTGTTGGGGTGTTTCCTCTTCCAGAGAGGGGTGGGCAGAGGTGGGCTTGGCCTGCAGCTGTGCTGCTGTCTACATCCTATACTTCTCGGCCTCTTGAGAAAGCTTTTTGCCTGGATGATCCATCCAGCTCGTCTTCTTTTCTCCTGGGAAAGGGGCTCCAAGGGGAGATGGTGTGAAAGGTAAGGAAGTAGATTTGACCCCACAGTGGGGGAGTAGCGCTGGCCCTGCCATGAGTTCTCCATGTTGTCTTGGAGGGCTTGGCAGGCCCCGGCTGTCAGATGTTAGCCATCCGAACCCCTGTTCGGGCTCTCGTGTGAGCTTAACTGGAGCATGAGGCGCTTTTCTCCCACTGCCTGGGCTGAAATGATCCTAATACTCAATCCAGTTTATGTTGACTTCCTCTCCAGACGATTTCTTGGGAGTTTGGGTGGATTGACCCAGAGTGATTTTTTTGTGTGTGTGATTCTACAAGTGTGTGTCCTTGGTGAATATTCCTGCCTGGCAGCTGCATTGGAGCACAGAGTAACACCACCTGCTCACAAATGGGAAAAATAGTGGGGTGAAGTCAACACCCCTCAGGCGATGGATTGGGACACATTCATAGGATTCAGGTTCCATTTTGCATTTCAGATTACAGCACTTCTCTGGTGCTTTGAAAGGGAGGTGCTCATAGTTAGTCATGGCCAGCTGGGATTCCCTAAAACTGGGGGTGCTCTTCTCTTGGAGATGGGCCTTGCTGAATCGGATCGAGTGCTGAGGACCAGTGACAGTATGCTGGCTCCCCAGCTCCCAGGTCAGAGTGCCAGGAGTGCGTCAAGGAAGTCAGTGTTCATATAGTTGGGTTGCTTTGGGTTTTCTTTTTTTGTTTGTTTGTTTTGCTTGGTTGGGATCCTTGCTCTTGACTCTCCCTTCTTTCTTGCGCTTTGCATCCCTCTCTCTCCCCGCTGCTTCCTTCTCCTGCCCCATGGACTCCTTTTGAAGGCTTCTTTACATCTTCCTAGCCAGACCCTGGTGCCTCATCCTTGCCATGCCTGGCCTGCTCCCACCACTCAGTGACCTTTGAGAGACCCAAGCTGAGCCTTGGTTCTGTATCCCCCTTGACAAGCCCAGATTTCTGTCTCTCGCCTTGCCCTCTCTTCCAGTCTCTAGACCTGTGTCTCAAGCTGCCTCTGTTCGGGTTGTGGCCACCTTAAACGGAATGTGGTGACAGCCAAGGGCTTTCTCTGGTCCTCCTCAGCATGGGACTCTTTGTTTCAGGGGTGACAAGGATTCATCTAGTTGCCCAGGTTTAAAATGCCAGCTATACCTTGAACTCTGCCTCCCCTTCTCCCTCCTCTGACCCAAACCCTGTGGCTCCTGGTATTGCAGCATCTCTCCCGTGTAGTCTTTGCCTCACACTTTATTCCCATTGTGTGCAGGACCCAGGACTATTACCGCTGGCCTCTCTGGGGGGTGGAACTTTTTTCCTCTTCCACTCATCATGTGCATCTTCATGATGAAATAAAACTTCTCCTTCCTCTTCTGTTGCGTCATTTGACTTGAGTGCAGCCTGCCTCTGTTCTACAAGCTGTGTTTGGCTGAGTCCAGGTCTGACTGCATGGCCTGGGTTCTTCCCAGTGACTCAGCTTACCCATTCTCAGCTCATGTTGTTTCTTGTCACGTGGGGACCTACAACCAAGTCCTTGGTCCCCCAGATATATCTACTCGTTTGTGTCCTTTTTTGTCTGTTAAATTTCTGCCTCCCCTATGAAGCCTTCCTTGCTTTATGTCTTTATAATTGGCTTGGGTTTTGGGTTACACGTGTGTGTGTTTTGTCTGTCTCTGTCTGTCCCCTTCTCCCAATAAGATGGCACATTGCTTTGGTGAAGCTGGTTATCTCTTCCAGCACCAAGCTGAGCATTAACTCGGCTGTGATATTTCAAGTTTTACCTCCATAGCGGTCTTGGAACTCTCCTTAGGTTGGGTGGCTTTATAATAATTCATTCTTATCATTTGACCTCAGTAGAATAATCTATGTCCACCTCCCACATCTGCTGCTGAGGGCGTGTTGAGCTCACCCGCCTTGGCCTCTCTGTGGGAGGATGCTGTTAGCAGTGAGTGTGTTTCACGGCATCAGACATTTTTACGTAGAGAGGCCTTGAGGTCTAGTCTGGTAACATTCTCTTGCTTCAAATACCAGAGGATTTTCTGTCTGATCCTGGAGGTGAGAGGAGCTGCAGAAGCCTTAGAGAGCGTGACACAGACGTGCTGAAGGAGCCCGTCAGTCAGTGTCGCACGGGAGCTCTCCCCCTTCTTGGCTGCCGCACTCTGGGCATGGCGTGGCGCTTTCTACATCGGTCCATTTGTAATGGCTCTGCCCAGATCTGCAGAATAGGAATTGGAATATTAAATGACCCCGTTTTAGGAAAAGAAGTTGAACCAAGCCGTAAATGAGCTCGAAGGAAAAAAAACAGCCCTGTCTTTCCCGACAGAATAAACCCTCGACTGGGCGGGTTCTTAAGCAAATTCTCTTGTTGCTGTTGTCCAGTCGTTTCAGTTGTGTCCAACTCTTCGTGATGCCATGGGAGGTTTTCTGGGCAAAGACACTGAAGTGGTTCCAGCTCATTTTACAGATGAGGAGACTGAGGCAAGTGACATGCCCAAGGTCACATAACTAGTAAGTGTCTGAGATCAGATTTGAGCCCGGGAAGATGACTCTTTCTGACTCGAAGGCCAGCACTCTTAATCTCCTGTGTCAGCTGGCTGCCCCTAAGCAAATTCTCTCCGGCATTTAAAGGACAAGTTGAGTACCACATAAACTTGCCAAATTCCTTAAGATTCCTTTTTGTTATTCTTATCGGATGGCGTCACAACGCAGATGTGATCTTGAGACTCCAGCTGGGGAGAGTCAAAACTGAGAACTTTTTAAACAGATTTCCCTGATTAGTATTGATGAGAAAATTTGAAAGAAAATGTTACCACGGAGACTGTATCAGTATATCACAAAGGTCATATATGACCCAGGCTGGATTTTTACCAGGAATGCAGGGCTTCTTCAGTGTTAGGAAAACTTGGAACATAGTTACCTATACTAGTAACAAACCAACATACACCAGTATTTCATTAGATGCAGAAAAAGCTTTTGACAAATTCAGCACCCATTCCTGTTAAGAAAAAAAAACAACCCCACACAAGAAAGTGTAGGAATGATGGAACTTTCTTGATAAATAGTATCTATGTAAAACCAGATGCAAGCGTTATCTGTAATGGAGAGAGTCTCTAGAAGCTTTTGGAGTGAGATCAGGGGTGAAGCAAGGACATCCATGGTCGCTGTTGCCATCCATTATTGTGCAAGCTTTAGCAGTCGTGCTAACTATAGTAATAGGACAAGAAAGTGAAATTGAAAGAATGTAGTTGGAGAAGAAACAAAACTCCTTGTTTCCTTAGAGAACCCTAAGGAGTTAGTTTTTTAGCTACTTCCTTAGGGTTCTCTAAGGAAACAGATTGAAAGAGCTTCAGCATAATTGTAGGATATACAGTAACCCACCTTAACCCTCCACATTTGTCTATGTTGGCAACAAAATTCAGCAAGAAGATAAAGAGAAATTCCATTTAAAATAACCACAGACAGTGTGGAGAGTCTCCCTGCCAAGACTCAGGAGCTGTGTGAACACCATGCCCCGTCCTGGCTCTGTTTGCCTCGGGCAGGTCACTCCACCTCTGTCTGCCTCAGTTTTCTTCATCTGTAAAATGAAGAGAATAACGGCACCTCCTTCCTCGTGCGGTTGTGCGGATCGAAGGCGGTGACCCTAGGGTGGTGCTCTTTGCAGACCTCCTGGGTGCTCCTGTCAGTGCCCAGAGGCCCGACCGTCAGCCTGGAGGCGTCAGTGCCGCCCACTTGTCCTTAGCGACACTGACCTCTCTGTCTCTATTTTAGCCCCCGTTGCTGAGCCCTCTGTTCAAGAAAATGGGGAAGACATTGGGGAGGGGAAGTACCTCAGAGAGGCTGACCCCAGCTCTCCAAGAAAGTGTGACATCATCATAATTTCAGGCCGAAAAGAGAAGTGTGAGGCTGCCAAGGAGGCTCTTGAGGTTGGTTGAGTTTTTCTTGGGGGTTGGGGCTCGTTCTTGCCCAGGTGCTTTGGGTACAGATCAGCCCAGTCTGGTGGGTGGTTTACTTAGAACCAGATCAGATCTTTTCCCCCTCTAAAGCCTGTGTTTTGTGTATGGGAGACACCTCATCTAAGCTTTCCACTCCTCCTCCGTGGGGTTTGGTCACATTTGGCATTGGGTTGGGATATTTTTCTAATTCAAATGAACTAAAATTAATCTTACCTGGAAGTTAGTTCCCCTTCCTTCCCTCCTTCCCTAGATGTAAAGCTTATTTCCAAGAAAGTGGTAGCTGCCTTTTTGTAGGGCTCAGCCCCCTCTGGTTTGCCTGACGAGTGAAGCATTGGGAACGTTTTGGAAGACTCCGGGAAACCTTCTGGGGAGTCTTTTTGCCCAGGCTCTGCTCCTGCCCGTGTTGCTGCGTGGGCTTCCCCCAGGAGGTGGCAGGTGCTTCTCCCAAGCCCCCGTTCCTACAGTTTCTCTGCCTTTGTGGTTCTGTTAGGCACTGGTTCCTGTCACCATCATGGTGGAGGTGCCCTTTGATCTCCATCGCTACATAATTGGGCAGAAAGGAAGCGGGATCCGCAAGATGATGGATGAGTTTGAGGTCAGTTGACCTTCTCAGCTGCTGTCCCAATGCAGCCCCGGAAGCCCTCCCTTCTGGCACCCTGCTAATAGTCGGCCAGTGGAGTCCTCCACAGAGCTGTGGGCGCATTGGCCCGGACCCCTTTCTAGCAAGCTGGCCGTGTCCGCTGGTGGCACGCTGCTGCGGTGAGCCTCGAGCTAAGCCTGGCATCGTAGGGTCTCCGAAGAATGCTGCTGGCTGTCTGCACTTAGCAACATTCTGTGGGGCTGGGGTCCCCTCAGGGTCGTCATTGGACAGACTGGATGCCTGGGACTCTTCATGATTCCATGCAAATCAGAGGAAAATATTTCAGGACCCATATTGTTGCCTCTTGAACACCTGGGTTCACAGCCGGTGATTTCGTTCACTCCCCCTTGGGTGGCCCTGGCTAGATCCAGTGGTGGCCCTGCCTGGGCTTGCCCACTTGGTATGGGCTCAGTGCCCGTGAGCACCAAGTCTCCTCTTGGGTCGTTGCTCTTGGGGGCTGCCCTGTGGCTGGCACACCGTCAAATGGCCTGGTAGGAGGTTGGGGAGCAAGGAGGTGATGAGCCAGCAGGGCTGTCTGTGCATCTGCGATTCAGTCAGGTACTTGTCATTTAGGTGAACATCCAAGTCCCGGCACCTGAACTGCAGTCTGACATCATCGCCATCACTGGCCTCGTTGCCAACCTGGACCGGGCGAAGGCTGGCCTCCTGGAGCGGGTGAGGGAGCTGCAAGCCGAGCAGGAGGACCGGGTAAGCGTGTGTGGCCAGCCAGGGGTGGGCAAGGCCCAGGACATTTGTTCTCACAGCTCCATCTTCCTTCTCAGACTGTATCTCTGGCAGCGGGATGCTTCTGGAAGCAGAAACGTCATTTTTAATAGTGACCCTTCATTTGGGAAGGCATCTTTTATGTTCTTGGAGCTTTGAAGGATGATGATTTGGTTCCAGTTGGGCCTGGTAGGACCAGGAACAGGGATTCTTAAACTTGTATTTCTTCAAGATGGAAATTCATTTGTTTATTTTTTTTTCCATTTCATATCTTAATTGGGAAACTACTATTGGCTGAATTAAGTGATCATTAAGTATTTGCCCCTTAATGGAGTGTAGGAGCTGGCAGGTCTTTCACGAGTATGGGGTCAGTGTGGCCAATTTAGGTAAAACCCTGAAGTTGACTTTGAGGCAGTGAAGGCTGGATGCCAGGCAACAGCTAGGAGGTTGAGATTGGGGTCTACTGCCTGCCCCTCAGGGCCAGCCAGGTGATCCCTTCTGGCTCCCAGATGGCATGCCGTCAGCATGGCATGGTGCAAAGGCTACTCCTGTGGCATAGCTCATCCAAATAACGCCAATTCCTGTGCTCCCTCCTGGTGTGCGTGCGTGCATGTGTGTGTGTGTGTGTGTGTGTGAGAGAGAGACACACACACACACACACACACACACACACACACACACACACACAGACACAAGTGTTCACATTAGCAGGTTCGGGTGACGGCCAGCTCTCCCATCCTATGATGGGATCACTATAGCAGACATTTCTTTGGATTTGAGCTCATTTAAAGGTGCCTTAGGCTTCCCACACAGGGCGTGGTTTGCTGTCATTTATTTTAAGAACTTAAGGACTGCTGTTGAGCACTAGTTGTACTTACAAGGGTACTCCTGAGACACCCTCTGCCTCCCAGGCCTCCAAAACCAGTGAGGCTTTGGTCTGGGGCTCCCGTGGCAGAGAATTTCAGTTCACATATCTGTGAGTTTTAAGGAGCTGGTGTGAAATGGGCTGCCATTCGGGCTGTGAGACCCTCCCTCACCAGCACCCTTGGGTGTTCACTTTGAAGATTCTGAAAAGATCATCCTTACTCTGATAGATGAAGAAAGGACAAAGAAAAACAGGCTTCCTTCTTACAGGTCTGCACTTGGTACTCATCCATCTCCTTGGTTGTCTCTCTTGTAGGCTTTGAGAAGCTTTAAGCTGAATGTCACTGTAGATCCCAAATACCACCCAAAAATTATTGGGAGAAAGGGGGCAGTGATCACCCAGATCCGTATGGAACATGAAGTGAACATCCAGTTTCCTGACAAGGATGATGAAAACCAGGTGAGAAGGGCAGCTCTGCAGACCTTCAGACATTGTTGGCCATGGTGCTGTTATTGGTGGGTCAGGGCAGCGTTGCTGCTGTGCTAGGAGGGGAGAGGGAAGGAGGGTCGGACAGGCAGCCTTCCCTGCTCGTTGGGTGGGTGGGGCTGTGGGCGTGGTTGCTGCCAACACCAGGAAGGCAGTCGAGATGCCATTTGGTCATGTAGCCCTGGGGTTGGTGGCACATTGCAGCTGGTATGTCTTCCTGGGGCCTGTGGAATGGTGCCTTTTCTGGGGACGGAGAGTTAGAGCCCCCTGCCTTGGGCAGTGGCCTTCTAGCTGGTCTCCCTGCCTCCAGTCTCCAGGCCAGGGCATCAGATGGAGCTTTGCTAAAGAAAGCCCTCCCCTCCCACACTCCACAGAGCCAAGTCGGTGCTCTGTGTTACCTTCTGCACTGACTGTGTCCTTGCTAATGTGGTGGCCTCCTGGCTGTTCCGAGTACAGGACATTCCCCCTCAGTTCTGTGTGTTTTCACTGGCAGTCCCTCGTCCTGAAACTCTCCTCACCGCGATCTCCTGCCTTCTTTCACATCTCGGTTATAGTGCCACCTTGTCCAGAAGCCTTTCCCCAGTACCTTCCCTCTGAGCCACCTTCTCTTTCCTCTCTTATGTAGTTTGCACGGCTGTGGCTCGTAGCATAGTGCCTGGCACACAGTAGGTGCTTAATCAGTGCTCATTGACTTGTTCTCTTCACTCCCCAAGAGCTGCTTCCTTGGAGCCACTGAGGCACCTTGGCACGGTCCCCTTTCGGGGAGGCCATTTGGGCAGCCGCCGCCTTGGCTGCCTTAGATCTGCCAACGTCAGCATTGCGCCTCTGACCGGCAGCCTGGTCCCAGGCCTGCCTGCGACTCCTGTCCCCTTGCCACTCCCTGAGCCTGGGGTCTCGTCATCCTCCTCGTCCTCTCACTGGATCCCTGGTCCTCTTGCACTCGATGTTGCTGACCTGGTCCTCATCCTCTGACTGCTTGTTTGCTCTTTGCCCCGGGGCTCTTCCTCCCATTTCCTGACATGAGGGTTGAGCTACGTCACTGTCCAGGTTGTGGCCTCCTGAAATAGGCTTAGTCCTTCCTTGTTCCAGCTCCCGGCAGTCTTTTGGAACTGTTCACCTGTGTCCCTCTTCCCTGGTGGCTCTGCTCCCCATGGCTGTCTCTGCCCGAGGGCTCTCAGCAGGGCCTCTCTCTGTTTCCCCACAACTGCCTTCTGGCTGGTTTCTCTGCTTGAACCCCCTCCTATGCCCCCAACTCTGCATCCATCTGTCAGAACCATCTTCTTGAAGCCACATTGCTTCACGTCACTTCCGTGCTCAGGACTTGGGCTCCTGCCTCCCTGCTGCCTGTGTCTGGGGAGTCCTGGCTCCTGTATTGGATTTCTGTGGCCCTCCATCGCTTTGGTTCCCCAAGACTCCCTGACGGACCTGGCCCGCTTCAGGCGCTCTGCCGGTCTCCTTGCTCATTCTGCCACCTGCGTTATGTGTCCCTGCTAATCTGAGCCCTTCCGTCCACCCCAGTCCCCCACACTGACTGCTCCCTTCTCAGAACGTTCCTTTCTTTCCCTGATCAGTGTAATCCCTTGGGATGCTGGGCCTTGTTTTGTTAAACTGATCTCGGCTTTACCCAGCATGTGGTGGACATCGAGCAAACATGCATGCATCAGTTTATTGGGAGGTGAAGTCTCTCTTCTCTGGAGACCCCCAAGACAGCCCTTTTCATCTTGGTGCCTCTGTCCTCCTTCAAGGCACAGGACCAAATCACTATCACAGGGTACGCAAAGAACACGGAAGCTGCTCGGGAGGCCATCATGAAGATCGTCGGGGAGCTGGAGCAGATGGTTTCGGAGGACGTCTCGCTGGACCACCGCGTCCACGCCCGCATCATCGGGGCCCGGGGCAAGGCCATCCGCAAAATCATGGACGAGTTCAAAGTGAGTTCGGCTTGGGGGGGGCTCGCTCCCTGCCCATCGCTCGTCTCCAGGTGCTCTGCCGTGCACTGCGTGGCAGCCCCCTGCCTGCCTTCCAGGCCTGCTGCTTCTCCCTTCTCCTAGCAAGCCTTTCCCCCACGCCATTAGGCCAGACCTGTTTGTAGTTGCCAGTGGACATCCCTGGCTCCATATGTCTTTTATATTTAAAGTTATGGTTACTGGGACCAAGGGGGCCAAGGTGGAAGCGTGACCCAGAAGAGAGGGCTGTGTTGTGTGGCGTAGCCCAGCTGGATTGCCCTTTAGTGCACTAGGAGGACTGGCTGCCTGAAGTAGGAAACAGCTGGCCTTTCCCTGAGCAGTAATTGACTTACCCAGGTGATTGAGCTTTCATTGGAATCACTGTGGAAACTTTCCTCCAGATACCAGCCAAGGTCAAAGCTGGACCGTGAGGGGACCAGGAATTAGCGGTGTCCAGGCAAAGTGAGGTAGGTGCTTTGGGCTTAGCCGCGTCTCTCTTGCAGGTAGACATCCGTTTCCCACAGAGTGGAGCCCCTGACCCGAACTGTGTGACTGTGACCGGACTTCCTGATAACGTAGAGGAAGCCATTGATCACATCCTCAACCTGGAGGAGGAATACGTGAGTGTCTGCGGCGGGAAGGGTCGTGGCCGGAGGGCGAGGGCTTTGGACTGGGAATCTGGTGTGGCCTGGGTGCCAGTTCTGTCTTGACACCTTCTTCCTTTCTTACTCGGGCAGGACCCCACTTTTGTCAAAACCCAAGGGTTAGCCCTAAACAGTCATCACATTCTCTGTCCTACACCCCTGCTCTTTGCTTGGCCCATTCTCAGTTGACTCCATGGTTTTTCACTTAGTCCTTCTGACTTGTGCCCCAGTTTCCATATCTGTAAACTGGGCGTGTTGGTGCCTTATACCACTTTTCTCAAAGCGCATTGTGAGGAGACAGTGAGATGAAGGGCTGGCCCAGTGTTAGCCCTGAGGACCAAGATGGAATGCCCGGGATCCAGAGCTGCTCCGGGTGGTCCCACCGACAGATGCCAAACACCAGCCAGACCCTGGTCCTCTTGAGGACACGGTCATAGTCATGAGAAGATGTGTGTTGTGTCCATCACAGCAAGGGTGGGAGGTTTCACGGTGTCATGGGCATCCGTTAGCTAGCGGAAGCTGCAGACCCGGAAGATGTGGAAGGGAGGACAGTCCAGAGACCACGTGGGCAGAATTCTGCCCATGGGAACAGGAGCGGCCTGGGTGGCTCCCACATGCATCTTTTGACCCGGAATTTCCTTTTATTCTGACCTGGCAGCTGGCTGATGTGGTGGACTCGGAGGCTCTGCAGGCATACATGAAGCCCCCTGCCCATGAGGAGGCCAAGGCGCCATCTAAGGGCTTTGTGGTGAGGGATGCCCCCTGGGCCGCGGGCAGCAGCGAGAAGGTAACCATCTCTGCACTTTTCTGTCCGGCTCCCATTGTTCTCAGTACTGGGCCTGGCTGGGTACCTTCTGTGCATCCAGATGACAGCCGGGCAGCAGCCCTTGAGCCGCAAGGGGCCTGATCTAACTGGCCAGGGTGTGCCCCGCGAAGTGCTCAGGATCCCCTTTCTGTGTGGGGCTCATGGCAGTGCCAAAGTTGGGCTCTGAGTGGGGCGTTGGGGGTTGGGGGTGGGCATCACTTCACTTCTCTCTGAAAGGCGAGGGGGCTGTCATTGGACTCCCCCTTTACAGGGCTCTGTCATTCCTTTGGGTGCAAGTGGGTCATTTTCTTTCTCTGGGGATAGCAACATTTGGAGATCCTGCTGTGCAAGGAGTGGATGTGAACTCTCAGTGATTAAGTTTGTCACATTGTTTTTTCCATAGGCTCCTGACATGAGCAGCTCTGAAGATTTTCCAAGCTTTGGGGCTCAGGTAGCCCCTAAGACTCTCCCTTGGGGCCCCAAACGATAATGATCAGAACGGAGAAACCTCTCCAGCTGCCAACCTGAAACTGCCCCACCACAAATACTGTGTCTTAATCTGACCCAGCGGCTGGATCCTATGTAAATTGTGTGTCCCTTTCCCGCCCCCACCCACCCCGAAAAGGTCTCCTAGTGAAGCCTGGAGTGCTAGGTCCTGCGTGCTGGCCTCGATGGTTCATGACCTTATTTAGCATCCAGTTTGCACTCAGGATCTGTTCCTTGACATCTCCACTCTGGGACAGGCTTTCCACTGTTTTAAACACTAAAAACACAAGTGAAATGCTTCATAATAAAGTAATTGAGACTTTCTAAGCTTCATGGTCCACTCAGCATGTCATTAAGCACTCTAACCTTCATTATGAGATCTCCCAACTGTGGCGAGGAGTCTACTTCCTGTGTCATGACCTCAGGAAATAAATTTCCTTGACTTTATGAAAGCCAAAATGTTTGCCCTCTTCCTTTCCCCAGCCCTTCCACTTCTGGGTGTGTTTTTGGTGATTGTTTTATCCCAGGCCTTCCTTTTCATAGAGCGCAGTCTGTCCAAAAGGCCACTTAGTGCAGGACGTAGAGCGGGGAGAGAGTCAGATGTGGACGAGGAGGATCCAGAATGACTGGCGGGAGTGGCAGAGGGGCCCAGAGAGGCCCCAGGGATGGAGGTCTGCACAGTTAGCCGGCCCAGGGCTGGTGCGAGACCACCCAGGCTCCACAGACGCAGCACCCAAGCAGCGGCCGCCCCGCATGAGACAAACCAATTCATGGTCCCTTTCCCTATGTTGTTCCCTTTGAAAGGCAGCCCATCTTGAGGACAGTATTACCAGGGTAGACCTTGCTTTGCGGACAGTGTGTATGCCTTAGGGCACAGCATGGGGGGTGGGGGGGTTGAGTGTGAACAGCCCGGATGAAGAACGGCTCCATCCTTTTTCTTTGTTTCTTGCTTCTTCACCTCCTCAATCCTGCCCCCCACCCCCCAAACAGAACCAACACTATTTACAGTTGCCTTCTTTCTACCTCAGAAGCCAGTGTGGTAGTGGTCTCCTGCACCTGGTCTCTTGATTTAAACTCTTAAGTTTGTCATTCTTTTTGTTGCCCTGGCATTCAAGGCTGAATGCTGTGCTCCCCACAGTAGGAGGTGAACAGGCCCTTCCCTCTGCCCCATGAGCAGTTGTGGCTTCTCTCGAGGGGCCCTTTTGGTGGCCTGCGAGAGGCAGCTTGTCCTATTGGCCTGTGTCTGGGGCCGTTCTCGGATCCCTGGCCGTGCTGGGTGACTGGGGGCAGAAGTAGCTCTCAGAACCATTTCAGGTTGGGGGGTGGGAGGCTGAAGCCATTCATCGGCTCGCCTTGGACCAGAGAGGTGAGACAAAATGGTGACCGTGAGGAATGGGTGCTGAGAGAGGATCTTTCCATCTTCAAAGGCTCCGTTGTCCAGCTCTCTGGGTGTCTGTCTGGTGGCTAGGCCTGCGCTCCATATGTGGACCGGCATGCTGTGGCAGGGGGAGTGGCTCTCCTGGAGCCCTTGTTCCAGGCCTTCCCCTTAGTGGGTCTGCTCGAGCAGTGTCGTTTGTGGTCTTGGTGCCGGAGGGGAGGGGCCTGGGGGGCTCCATCCATCCCCTGCCTCTGACCTCTGGGAGGCCTGGAAGAGCTGCTTTGCCCCCGTGACAGGCTCCTCTTCCCCAGGACCTTCCCCGCTTCTTGTGAAGTGTCGGCAGAAACTTGCTTAGGCATCCCTTCCCGTAGATGCCAAGAGTTTCATGATAGCCCTTAGCCTGGGTTGCTCTGGCAAAGTTCCCTTGGTTAGAAGCCGGCTTGGGGGTTGTGCTTATTGGTAAGCATGATGACCGGGGGAGGAGTGAGATATGGGGGTCCCCGCCGTATGGTAGAGCTTATTGTAAGGGGCGGCCAGACTTGGATCTCACAGAAAATGGTGCCCCAGGTCTCTAAGGTACCCTGGGGAGGAGGGGGGTGGTCTGTTACCCCGTTGTTTCCCCCCCCTTTCTTCTAGCTGCAAGTGTTTCAGAACCTTTCCTGTTGATGCCCTTCCCTCAGTCCTCTTTGCACCCTGTCCCCCCTGATTCTTGTCATGGTCTGTCGTCCACAACCATCACCCCTTCCCCAAGTCAGTGAAATGCCCTTGCAAACCTTTTGCACATCTCCATTAACTGCTAAATGTCTTAGATGCAAGTTTGATCCCTAGCAGCATATTTGTAAGCCCCTTCCAAATTCTTGGGACTTGCCCCCACCCCATCCTTTTAAAAATAAAGGTCATGAAATGATTGTACCTAGTATTTTGTCTCCTCACTGTCCCCCACGTGTAGTAACCGCGTCCTGGGCAGGGGGAGGGGTTGTCTGTCCCATTCCTCGTTTTTAATGTCTTCCATATCCTGTGTTTCCATGGCAACGATCCCTTGGCCTTAACTTTGGAGTTTGGAGATTATATGCAAACGTGTAAAAAGGCTCATGAATATGGATGACACTGGAATTTTATAAATTCTAAAATAAAACCTGAAAGAGTTTTTAGTGTGCTTGAGATTTTTGTTTAATCCGCTTAGAGTGGGGCAGGGGAGAGAAAGGTCTTGGACCTATTTCTTGATCCTTAATGAGAAAACACATTTAAAGTGCAATGTAAATATTAATTGTGATACCTACTGTGACTGACTCAAGGGATTGTGGAGAAGGGGTAGCTGGAATCAAGAAGACCCAAGTTTAAATCCAGCCAAGTCATTTCGACTGTTTGCCTCAGTTTTCTCTTCTGTTAAATACGGGTAACACCAGCACCTCCTTCCTAGGTCATTGTGAGGACCAGCTGATAACTGTAAAGCACTTAGCACAGTGCGTGGCACAAAGTGAACACTATATTAATGTTAAGTGTTAACAGCAAACCTGGGTCTATGAATGAGTTTTTTTAATTGACAATTTCTGTATAATTGATTTTCTTTGTAATCCTATTCATTTTTACACATTTGAAAATATGATTCTGAGAAAGGGTTCATCAGTTTCCTGAGACTGTGTGTAGGGTCCGTGATGCAGCAGTGGGTAATGACCCTTGGCAAAGACTTGAGTAAAAGTAGAAGCCTGTCCTTACCTCAGGACAAATGTTTGGAAAAGGAGGTTTGAGTGCTTCCTTCTAGGCCCCTCGCTTTAGGGAGTCGGGAGGACATGATTATTTATTTGGGGATGGCTGGGGTCTGGACCTGAGATTGTCTTTGTGGGCGTAGCCCCCAAGGATTCTCCTCCTCCTCCTCCTCCTCCTATTTCTGCTAACTCAGAGCCAGGACATGAGAGGTCACATGGCCATTACGGGTGAGGGTGAGACTTCACACGCCTGACTCTTGTGCCCTCCTGGCTCACTTTTCAGTTGAAAATTTGGATATCTGAAATTTGGACCTAAGTGTGCTCAGTGTAGAACATGGCGAGAGAAGGCCAGATGTGGAGTCTGAAGAGAGCTGACTCTGAATTCAGGCTGGCCATGTGGCCCTCGGGCAAATCAGGAATCTCGTTTTCCTCATCTGAAATGACATGATCCCTTGATCAAGGCTTTCTGGAAGGAAGGAAGGAAGGAAGGAGAATGTCCGCTGTTACTAAGAAGCTTTAATTCCACATTTGCGGAAAGGCCTGGGTCTTCTTGAATGAGTGCCACTGCACCGTTGGTTAGAAATGTGTTTGAGCCAGGCCCCACCGTGTCCTGGCTGTGCTTCCTCTAACCCCGGGTTAGGTGCTGGTCCTGGGCAGAGGCCCCCAGGACTTCTCCAGGTCCCAGCACTCCGAGGGCCACAGGAACCCGAGACTATTGGTTGGTGATCTTTAGTCACTTATTTGAAATTTAAGTCTGCACAAAATATGTTTAAAAACAACCCCCTTACCTTGCTTAGAAAACCCTAGAAGCCTGTTTTTGTTTTTCCCTAGAATTGGAGAGGGAAAAAAAGGCAGGAGCCAGGGCTTCAGATCATCTTTCTGAGTCACAGTGACTGAGCATCCCTCGTTGGACACGGTTTGACCTTCCTCCAAGGAAGGTCAGGCTCTGCTCTCTGTGACCCACTTGCTACTGGCATTTTCTAACCCAGTGGCCCATATAGACTGCTGTCCAACAGAAACCAGGGGACTTCAACTCTGGCCCAAGCAGTGACCTTGGCAGGTTATCTGAGATCTCTTGGTAACAGAGTCGTACGAGTGAGTGGGCTTCCATACACTGCACTGTTGCTGTTTCTTCCCATGCTGCTCAGGATGCCTGAGTGGGATGGGGCAGGAGTCTTGCCACAGTGCAGTGAGTGTTGTTTGCATGTCAGGATGGAATTGTGGTATGGCTCCTTTGGTTCAGAGCCCGGCAGGTGTGTCCCTCTTGGGGGGCACTCTGCTCCTCTGGATGGCCATCAGGACCTTTGGAGAGGAGAGAGGACTGGGCATGAGTAGAGTGTGCACTTGGTGCAGGGGGGGGTTGAATGCCTGACTTTGGGAGAAGTCAGCACAAGCGAAGGCAGCCTCTGAGGGTTGGAGCTCACAGTGCTGTGTCATACCTTCTTGGCTGGCCGTTTCCTGATCGGTGACCTTGGTCCTTGAAATCGAGTCAGGAACAGTAGCCTGGAGACCTTGTTTTGTTCCCAGATCAAGCTCCTCTCCTGAGTGCTTTGCCACGGGCGAAGCTCGCTGCCATTTCTGCTTATTAAATGGGTGCTGGCTCCCCTGATTTTCAGATTCCAATTTAATTTCTTGATCTTTGGCCTGGTTTGTCTCAAAAAGAATCTGTCTCAAGGAAGAGGTCAAAAGAGAAAGGAGAAAACTTACTTAGCCATATTGACTTACTGAAATACTAACAATGAAACATTGCTCGTTCATTTTTTTTTGGGGGGGGACTTTTCAACATACTTTTCTTTTTGTCCCCAGCCACCTTTACTGGAAGAAGTGTGATCACAGTCAGCCAAATGTTTGTGCTGCCAGCTTGGGTACAATTTGGGTTTGATTGCTTGGATCCTATTGGGTGACATCAGCATCTTCCCCCAGGGAGGAGAAGAAGAAATATGAATGTTTAATCTGTGTGGTATGGGCCGGAGGGGAGCTAACCATAGCTCAGTCCCCTCACTTTACAGGTAAAGAAACTGAGGCTTATGGTTAAAGGATTTGTAGCTCGCGTTAGGGAAGGGATTTGACTCCACTGCTCTTTGCCTTGATGGCCAGAGGGAGGAGGCAATATGTAGAAGTGCTTATAGTCTGAGCCTCAGTTTCCTTATCTTTCTCCTTCTAGCCTGGAGAGTTTTGGACTAGGAAAGGTCAGAACCTGAATTTGGGAGAAATTGTGGAAATGGTAAAAGCCCTGTCATCTCCAGGCCCAGCTCTTGTGTGGGCATGGGCTCTAATTCTCACTTCTGTGAAGGAAAGTTGAAGGGGAGGGGCAGGATCAAGGAATGAGAAAAAGAAAGTAGTAGATTAGGTAATTAAGGAATAATTGGAGAATTAAGCAAATTGATAGAGTGAATGGGGGGCAGCTGGTGAAACAGGTAGGTTGGTGCACAGTGGAGGGGGGAGGTTGTGTGAGTGACTAAGAATTTTAAGTCGATTCTTTTTAAAAAAATCTCAGCTGGCACGGAGGGTAAGTGTGATTGTGCAGTGACTTGCTTCAGCTGCATGCTGCTTGTGTTTCTCGCACAGCTGAGTGACTTGTCCATGTTCCAGGTATAGGCTGAGCTCCCTCCTGGAGAAGGATGAAGGGTAAGAGTGTGGAGCTGACTCCACATTCCAGGGGATCGGGGACAGCTGGATCTTCCCAACAGGAACAGAAGTGAGACCAAAACAAGAGAGAACAGGGGACCTAGGGCTGAGGAGCGAGGAGAGGGGAAGAAGGTTTACAAGAGGAGAAGGGAATGTGGCTCTTTCTGAAAAGGAAGGATGCCCCAAGAGTGATACCGTAGACCCTGGGCAGCTCTCAGATGACAGGTCATCTAGTAAGGGAACGAGCAAGACGTTAGGAGTAATTAATGTAGATGATTCCCTGAAGAGGGCTGTGGAGGCAGCTGTTGACAACTTCCTCATCAAGGTCTGTTCTGTTCGTGGGGCACGTATGAAGACCTAACAGAACCTCCTCGAATGTACCAGAAGGGATGATGGCTTCCCACTTCTGGTGCCTGGCTCACGGGCCCAAATGATGCTGCCAAGAACCTGAAAATTATTGCTAAAGTCAGTGAAGTCTTGGACGTGAAGCTGCAGATCAGGGAGATGTGGGCTGTGTTTTCAAATGAGATATTTGTAAAGCATTTAACAACATAGTAGGTGCTTAATAAATGCCTATTTCTTCTCTCCCCTCACCCCTCTTTTTCCTGTCATTCATTGAAAACAAGGGATGATGAAGATGATGAACAGCTAAGCTAAGAAGGTAATGATGTCGGAAGATGGGATTTGAACTTTGGGACCACAGGCTGAAATCCAGGGATGGCAGATTCCTGGCCAGGGATGGAGTTCCCTTAACTGGTAATAAGGCTGGTAATAAGTCCTACCCTTCCTAAGCCCTGTTCTAATCATGGGCTTCACCCCACCCAGTCTCAGCTGATAATCTTGCAAATGGAATGAAAAGCTCTTTAAACTGGTGCACATTCCCCAAGTTAAATACCATGAGGGACAGTGACATGAAGTGAGGGTGGCAGTCGAGACACCTGGATATTCACAGGAGATAAAACCCCTGGCCTGGAAGTCTGCGAAAATGCCCCAAGTTTAGGCAGCGAACTCGGAGTGACATTTGAGCTCAGGGCTCTCGAGAAGACTTGGTGGGATGAACGAAGGACTGGAACTCGGTTTTGGATGGGCGTACCTCATTGAAAAGAAGTAGGACAGGTGAAGGAAGGGCTGAGTGTGGGAAGTCAGCTTTGTATCTTGAGGTACTCCTGTGGAATCTGATGGGGAAAGCTTGCATAAGGTCAGTAAAGGGAGGAGCAAGCGGTTTTGCAATTGGCGGATGGTATAGATCACTTGGACGGAGAGAGGAAATAGATGAGTTTGGGAGGCAGATTGTAAGCCTAGCAAGGAGGCATGATGTAGCAGGGATGAGGGCCTTCAGTCATCCAGACATGCTGTAGTAGCATGGCGGTGGGGCGGGGTTCAGTCATCCAGATATCTGCTGGTGGGCACTCTCTGCCAAAAACAGAGTGGTTAATAGCTTCCTGATCCTTAATTATAATCACCTTCAAAAAAGTGAAGGAACCCATGGGGGTCACTTATTCTGGGTCTGATTCTCAGTCAATGGAGGGAGTTGACTCCTGGTGAAGAAATGATGGGAAGTGTCTTGGAGAGTGCCATTTCTTCTTAGAATTTGTAATAGAGGAAATTCAGTTACATGTGGTCTAACCTGCACCCTGGATTTTAGATTTCAAAAGGCTCAGAGGAAAGGATAGGTAGCATCCACCCCATGGACTAAAATTCTGCAGGGGAATAGGCCCAGGAAAGGTGGGAGGAGCTCAAGAATTAGATTCTGAAGAGAAAGAAAAATAAGAGTGTTTTCTTTGTGCTATCAGAGAAGGGGATGATTTGCTTGGGATGGGTTGGGCCATTCCAAGGGAGTGAAGGCAGGACAGCTTGATTTTCTTTCCCTTTTCTCTGCCAATGCAGAGAAATGTCTGTCCCATTGGAAATGACAAGACTGTCTAGCAGGGAATGGGTAACCAAGATAAGGAAGGAGATGTGAAGACATCGCCGTGTGGCCCTGCTGGCTTCATGTCACCTCAGCTCCATGACCACCATGTCAGGGGACTGAAATGACAGTAGCAAACATTTCTGGAGTGCTTTAAGGCTTGCAAAGCACTTTATAAATATGAGGTCGTTTGATCCTCGTGAAAACCCTGGGAGGTGGGTGCTATTAACGTCCTCATCTTACAGATGAGGAAGCTAAGGCAGGCAGGTTATGTGGTTTACCTGGGGTCACAAAGCTAGTAAGTGTTTGAGGTTGGATTTGCATTTGGGTCTTCCCAACTGCCAAGGTCAACATTCTATGAGCAACATTACCCAGCTGCCTCTGATTGCTGAGACGCTGTCGCCGGTGGTTGAAAAACTGCGGAAAACATAAGAGCTGCCGCAAGATTGGAAAAGGACAGATGTCCCAATTAAAAATCAAAAGGGCCCAGGGAAGAAAACAGAACCTACAAGCTATAAGCCAGTTGAAAAGAAATCCTCGGTGTCTTGGAATGTTCTGGGGTTTCCTTCCTCTCCTGTGCCAAGTTTTAATGTGTCACTCGGTGGTGGTCTAGATCCTAGCTCTGATACATAGAAAAGTCATGGGATCACCCATTGAGGCCTAGAACGCCTCAGGCCATCGAGACCAACTCCCTCACTGTATGGGGGAGGGGAAACTGAGATTCAGAAAAGTGGGGGGACTTGCTCAAGGTCACACAGCTAGTGAGCAGCCAAGGTAGTCTTGGAACCCGGGTCCTGTGATGGACACTCACTAGGACTTGGAGCAGTCCCTGACTTTTCTTCTGTGTGTGAAATGGGAATAAAATGATCACCAGACTCTTCCCTCCCCCAAAGCCCGGTGGACACAAGAGGTGAGATGCCCGCTCCTCTGGATGTCCCTGGGTGCTGATAGAGGCACAGGTGAAAGCTGAGCCTTTGTCTGTCTCCCTTTGAGTTTGGGGAGGTTCAGACTCTAAGTTCTCAATGTGGACAGGACTCTTTATCCTCAAAAGTCATGAAAAGCCCTACCGAAATGAATGCTTTTCTCGTGTCAAGGATCAGGTCAGAGAATGTAAGGAAGGAAGTTCCACAAAACTCACAGCATTGAGTCTGTCAGCCAGTCTGAAGAAGAGAGTGGCCTCAGCTAGAAGGTGCCCTCGGGGTGGGGAAGGGAGCTGGCCTGAGTAGGCCTGAGTGCCCTGTGCCCTGGCAGGTGAGGGGAGGAGGAGGATCACAGAGGGAGATCTGGAAGGGACCTTACCGTCCAGCACCGTCAACCCCCTTGTTTTGCAGATGAAACCCCAGCTAAGATGAGGTGAAACCTAGGCTCACACAGCTAGGAGGAGCCTGAGGTGGGATTCAAACCCAGGGCTCTCCAACACCCTCTGTATGAGGGGTTTAGCTGCCACCTTCCTCCCTGGGGAGGGGAGGGTCATCAGGGAAAGCACGGCTCTGGAGGATGGCCCAGGAGAGTTAAAGACCCTCCTCCTTTCTGGGCACCCACTGCCATGTCTAGGCCAGGAGAGCTACAGGACTGAGGGTGCTGCCGGGGAAGGGCTCGGTCCCATGAGTCACCTTGTGGTCAGCCAGGGCTTGCTTGGCTAGGTAGTATTCCGGCTTCACTTTGACTTCCACTGATGCTGGGCTGTCGGGCGCCATGGCATTGATCAGTCAGGCCATGGAGAAGATGACGTGCTACTGGGCAAAAAACAGGTTGGAAGTGAGGAGGCCAGGCTGAGGAGGATCAAAAGATGGGGTGGAGAAAAGGGCTCCTTCTGCCCAGATTCTGCATGGCAGGGGTAGGAGGAAGGCTATGCTCCATGAGCTGTAGGGGCAGCAGGGCTCGGTCTGAGAGGCTGCAGCCCGATGCCCAGCGAGGGCCCGGGGCAGGAAAGACCTCAGTGGCCAAGGCTAATGGCAGGTAACAGGTGGTACTTCAGACACAATGATGAAGGCCAGACAGATGGCCAGAAGGTTCCAGAAGGTAAAAGAATGCTGACCATCTCCTCTGAAAGCTTGAGACCTCAAAAGCAAATGGCAGTGACAAGTTATGTTAGCGCAGCCCTAGGAGGCTCACGAAGCTCTTCCCATTCCTCATCTTGTTTGATATAAAGAAGCAAAGAAAGGGGACAGTGAGGACGAGGAAGCCAAACTTGGCATCTTCCTTGGTTCTGGCCAGGATTAGCGGCCCATGGGGCAGGTGTGTCACAGACTCTGTGGGTTCACAGAGACATTCCTACAGGATGTCACGCTTCTTTGGGCCTCAGCGTCCTCATCTGCAAGGTGAGGAGTTTAGACTAGATGGTATCTGAAGCCATTTTATTTTGGGAGCTAAGATCCTAATTTGGGCAGGGCAGAATAGGCTAGGTCTGCCTCCACTGCTCCAGAGGGGCTTTGTGTTAGGCCAATCACTAGTTTTCTAGAAGAGCTCCTGATGTGTGAGAAAGCCCTAAGGGCCAGGTTTTGTTTGATTTTAAATGGCTCCTGGGTACACTATGGCTCAGTCCCCACCACAAGACCTGTCATCCAGCTTTCACATTAAGACCTCCATTGAGTGGGGACCCAACCACTCCCATTCTCCTCTAATCACTGATGGCTCTAATGGTGGGGAGGGTTTCCCAACACCCTCATTGCAGCTTCTAGTTCAGTCCCGTGAAACAGAGCGAGTCCAAAATCTCATCCCTGACGGCTTTTTGTACATGGTGGTTTGCAGGGTGTCTCCCTGTTAGAATGTGAGCCCCTTGAGAGCAGGGATCCTGTCATGTCTGACTCTTTGTGACTCCATTGGGGTTTTTTTTGGCAAAGATCCTTGTCATTTCCTTCTCCAGCTCATTTGACAGATGAGGAAACTGAGGCAAACAGGGTTAAGTGACTTGCCCAGGGTCACACAGCTAGGAAGTGTCTGACCCTAGGTTTGAACTCAGGAAGATGAGTCATCTTGACTTTAGATCCAGCATCCCTTATTTTACAGGTGAGAAATATGAGGATGGGAATGGCTAAGTGAGTTTCCCCTTCCATGACACATACCTAGTATATGTCTGAGGCAAGATTTGAATTCAGGCCTTTCTGATTTGACCTGCCACTGTAACATCCCAGCCTCAACCAATTCTTCACATGGGAGGGTATCCAGGCCCTTCACCTTTCTGGTCATGTGCCTCTGGGTTCTCTTTATCCCCACACTGAACACAGCATTCCAGCTGGGGCCAGATGGGCAGAATGCAGTTTGGTGGTCACTGAGACACTGCTGCCTATGCCGTGTCTGTCTCCTCACACTTTGATCTTGTAACAAAATCTCTAGAGGAATCCAATCCACTCCCAATTTATTATGTCTTTGCTAAGTGCCAGCCATTGTGCTAAGTGCTGGAGAGATTCTTTTAAAGCAAAAGGAATTTACCTTCTAACAAAAGAGAAGAGACAATATAGACAAATCAGTACATCCAAGAGAAAAATGGAGGAGGTGGAAGTCAGCTGTAGAGGGGAGCCTCCTTTCCAAGTCAAAGGAGTGACTTCTGGAATCACAGAGGAGGAAGGAGTAATTAGAGGTTGTCCACTCTCCCCTCTCTGTGTTTGGCCGGAGTCCTCCCCTCCTTTCTGTGTTACATCTAGTCTGCTTCTTCACAAGTGAACAGGAGCCAGTGCTACCCCAGTGAAGACGCTAAGCGTGCCCCAAGCCTGCCTCACCTGCATGTGTCCTTGTATTTGGAGACAGCCGCCTTGGGGGCCCATGTCAGGGTAAAGCTGATGTGGCCTCGGAGGTCGTTAGACTGGATGTGCTGCTCATAGGTCCTTTGCAGGAAGTCAGAGGTGAAGGGGATAAGGAGGGCCTGGAAGGGAGGCAGCAGCATCTCAGCCACAGGCACTGAGGCTTCTCACCTGCTTTCAGGCGTAGGGCAAAGGCAGCAGGCCCTTTCCATCATGGCAGCTTCTTCTCCACACGTTGGCCTCGCCAGTGCTGGTGCTGTCACACTTCTGTTCTGTGAGCTCAGCCATGGGTGGAGTTGCCCGTCTGAGGCTGATTGCTCTACTCTGACTGCACTAGGTCACAGGGATCCCTTTTCACTTTTTTCCCCTGGGGTTTTATTTACAATCCACCTCAGACTGTTCAAGGCAGCAGAATCCTGAGTGTCTTATCAAACTCAAGGGCCAGCACCTGTATGATGTGGCACGATGGGAAGGGCGAGTTAGAGGATCTGGGTTCTCCTCCCAATCCTGCTTCTCCCCTCCCTCAGGGATCTTGGATGATTCAGTTCAGAAAGCATTTATTTGGTGCCCACTCTTGGACAGGCCCTGTGCCAGGTGCTGGGGATATAGAGACAGAAAGGTTTCATGTAGAGGGCGGCATTTGCTTGAGCTAAGTTTTGAAGGAAGCCGAGGGTGCTAAGAGGTGGAGATAAAAAGTCCTGTTGGCCAGCATGACAGGATCGTAGACCCTGTGGAGGGGGCTAAAGGGTAAGAAGATGGAAGAGGCAGGAAGGGGGCAAGTGGGGAAGCGCTTTCAGTACCAAGCCGAGGATGGTATTTATCCTGGAGGCTTGGACATTGGCTGCTGAATTTTTATTGTGCCAGTGAGGATTGTGGTCAGGTTTAGCTTTAGAAAAAGCACTCTGGCAGCTGAGTGGAGGCTGGAATTGAGTGGGGGGAGACCAGAGGCCAGGAGGCACCCCCGCCCCAGACACGGCCGTCTGTCAAAGCTAGACCCAGAGAGTGAGGAGAGGCGGGTGGCAGATGCCAGTGAGCTGCAACACACTCCTGCCGGGTTCACAAGGTGGTTCACGGTTATTGTTCTGGAAGAGGAGGGGGACTTGAGTCTAGAGGCACCACGGGGAGACTTCCAGCACGTGGAGGGGCAGCTCCCAGGCCACGGGTGCAAGGGCATCTCTGCTGACGGGGTGAGATCTTTGCTTCCTGGAGGGCACAGACCTTCTCTTGTTCTCTCCGGTTCCCCAGCCCTTGGCACAGTCAGTGCAGTGCCTGGCTTTTAGAAAGTGCTTAATGAATACTTTTGCATTCACGTGGGCCCAGTTCACCAGAAATGTTGCTCCTAATTTAGCTCTGCAAAGAGTCAGTCAGGAGCATGGAGGGTTAGCTCAGGATCAGGACTCGAGACCGAAGGAGCTCCCTCTGGGATGTAAAGGCCAGAAGATCCTCAAAAACACCCTGAGGCTACTCACGGCCCCTTTGTGAACCTGCAGCCCAGTGAGCAGTCCTTGGTTGCCCGGGGGAATGAGTTAATTGTCCCGTTCACCAGAGGAGTCACCCTCATGCCTTTCCTGCCCTCCACCGCTTCTAAGAGATCATTCCCTGGCCTGTCACAGCTAATCACAAGGGTTGGTCTGGAGCCCCTTTCCCCTCATCCCCCGACTCTATCCTCTATCCCCCTCAGACCCCAGAGCTACTCACCTTACTGAAAACAGCCACATGGGTCATGACCTGCAGGAGACAAAACCAGATGCCAACGCTGTGGGCTTTTTGTGCCACGGGGCACCGGTACCGCTGGACGAACTTGTGGGCATGAAGATGCATCTCGAGCCGATTGTTGAGGAGGGCAAACAGCGGCGCAAGCGGGCAGGCAGCCACAAAAATGGTGATGAATCCAAACTCTATCAAAGCATTGGCAAGGGAAGTCATGGGGCAGAGAGGTCAGGCACCTCACCTGAGGCTGCGGGGCCGCTTCTCAAGTCCTGATCCTCTGACCCAAAGCCAGTCTGCCTTCCAGTACCCCCACCATCTATCCAGGCAAGCAGAAGTCATCAGTGATGAGTATCTCCTGTCCCTGTCACCCTCTTCTGTTGTGTCACAGAAGGTGGAGGTGCCTTTGGGCTCTGGAAGGCCATACCAGTGGGTACAGTATGCCAGGTCTGACACATCTTTAGTTGTGAGGTCCCAGGTGAGTCCGTCTTCTCTGTGCCTCAGTTTTCTCATCTGTCAAATGGGGAGACTAATACCAGTAGCACCACCACACAGGAGTGTTATGAGAATCAGATGAGACGAGGTATGGAAAACACTTTGTGAAGTAAATCTTCAGTATTCTGGACAAGTCCCGTTAGAGTAGTGAGGTCCAGATGATGGGTTCTCTGGATGAGCCCCTAGCACTGGTGAGGCGAGAGCAGGATGTCCGTAGTGCTGGAGTTAAGGGACAATGCGGGCCATCCTTTGCTTTCTAGGCCTAAATCAGGCCTGTTGCTCAGAATTACAGAATGTTGGAGATAATTTACTCCAGCTCTTTCATTTCATAGACAAGGAAACCGAAATGGCAAATGACCCGACTGAGGTCACATGGCAGCAAATGCTGGAGGGGAGATTTGAACATGAGTCTTCCTGACTCCAAGCCTGACGCTCCAGCTGTCATTCTAGGCGCTGCTCACGGGAGGAGAATTTCCAACAGCTTGCACAAGATCTGTTTCCCCGTCGTGATGACCAGCATTTCCTGGGCAAGTTCGGCAAGACAGCCACCATGAATGCACCATGTGGGAGAGAATGGGCAGGTTAGCATGAGGGATGGAAGCAAGCAGGAGGAGGCTGTCAGTGCGTCTGCTCATTCTCCCACTTTGGCCCCTGCCTGGGGCCTCCCTGCCTCCCTCATTGCCCTGGAAGCCCTTTCCGTGAGCACCTAAGTCCTGGTACCCTGTCTACAACGTGACATGCCAGATCTCATCTTCACCTTCATCATTAAAAAGGTTTGTAAAGTAGTACCAAAGGAACCCAAGTCGTTTGATATTAAGGAAAGCCCCTTCCCTCCAAACTACCAGTGCCTGGAAAACCAGGGCCACAAAGGGATTTTACAGGCTCTATTCCAGAGCAACGGCATATAGTGCACCCTGAATCATCTCTGTGAATGTAGGACTGAAGATGTGTGGGAAATGGACAAAAAGGATAATCAAAGGTTTACAATTAGCTTTGCAATGTACTTAGCCAGAAATAGACACACGGACCTTTTTGGACTTCTACCCCCAGCCCCTTTCTTGGCCAGGCTCCTGATTAGGAAAGCAGGACTCGATGAAGAAGCAGGGACCATAGTCATTTACAGGTAGGCCTTGTTTTAAGTAATCTTACTGTGAAAAACTATAAACTAGGATGTGAATGAAGAATCTTTATTTTCATCTTCTTCTTCTCCTCCTCCTCCTCCTCCAAACTGAAGGAATTCTCAGACCAGAATATCTCATGTGTCAGATGAAACACACACTGGTAAAGTTTTAAATTATAGCCCAGCTCTATTGGACATTAAGCATGTATTTTTAAAAGAAAGAAGGAGGGATTTAAGGTGTAGGAGTTGAATTCTGAGACACAGAAATTCCTCTAATTTAGGGAAAGAGGTGTTAGACAATTTGTAATGACAATATCTAATGCGTTATATGGTATTTTCTGCTTGCAAAATGTGTACATGTATGCATTCTTTCATTTCATTCTCCCAACAAGCCTTTAGATAGTCAAGGCAGATGGCATTAGGTCCATTTTACATATGGGAAAACAGAGGCCCTTGGAGGTGAAGTGGTTTGCCTAAGGTCCCCTAGCTAGTAAATAACAGGGCCAGGATTCAAACCCAGTTTTTAGGATTTTAAATCCATTGCAGTGGCCCCTCACTCAGCCAATGCCCAGGAGGAGATCTTAGAGCCAGGAAGGGGTACAAAGTACTGACTCCCAGGATATTGTGGGCCTCATCAGCATCTCACTTCTTCAGGAGCACTTTCCTCACCAAAAGTTTTGGGTTTTGTTTTGTTTTTTTACTTACCCCATTTGAGAGGAGCCTGGCCTGAATTTTAGAATCAAAACTGATGATGTGGAGATGACAGGGGGCTCAGAAGCCGTGGTGACCTGGGCCATCTTACAGGTTGCTACAGATAAGAAAAGGAACCTTGAACGTACATGGAGGCTCCTCTGCTTTTGAGAAGTCATTTCAAGGCACTCAGAGATAAGATCATCATAATAATAATGATAACTAGCATTTATAGAGTACCTACTGTGTGTTGGGCACTCTGCTAAGCCCTCTATGAATATTATTTCATTTGATCCTCACAGCAACCCTGGGAGGTAGATGCTATTATTATACCCATTTTACAGATGGAGAAACTGAGGTGAGATGAGAAGGGGAAACAAAAGAGTCTCCCAGGGCCTTGTTGGCTTCAAAGCTGTGATCATATGCTCTGCCTCCACCCCCACCCCCATTTAATATTTCCTGGCATATATGCACATTTTCATTTTGAATTCCGAAGGAGGTACGCTAGTTTCCTGGGTAACCTAAAAATCTGAAGAACATCGATGATTATTCAACTACTAAGTGGTCAGTCTCCATTCTTGGAGCAACAGAGCAAAGGGAGAAGGCTCACTTTCGGTATGCCTCTCCCTCCCTCCCTCTTCTGAATTTTCTGCCTGTCCTCATCACTCCCTCCCTGGAGGGAACTCCTGGAGGTCTGAGCTGCTCAGAGGAACCAGCCAGCCTTCTGCCTCATGAAGGAAAGCAATGTTTCCAAGCCTGGGACTGTGTTTTTCCTCCTCCCAGGGGTGTTGGCATCTAGCCAGGAAAAAGGGACTTCTTCGCTCGCATAAACAGCTCTCTCTCTGTTGGAATGTCTGGCGCTGTGGAAGGTGAATGGCAGAGAGATTTAGGAGAACCCAGGCTAGTATGTAGGCAGCTGCCTTCTTTGCCTATGCCTAAGACTGACTGTGTTCAGATACCCTTCCAGGACCATCTGAGGATCCCCGGGGGCTCCCTGTGAGCATCCTTTGAAGAACTGAATAGCACTATTTATTCCGTGGGGCCTCTTCAGGAGAGGGCAGAGGTCTTCCCAAACTGCAAACTTCCCAGGATTTCTGGAGGTGGTTGCTGTGTGTCCATGTCCTCATTTGTTCGAGATGCCTAAGGGGCTGATTGTTCTGACCCAGCTGCCCATCCCACTTTCCTGAGGGACTTCTCAGGCTGCTTTCACTGAGAGATGGGTGCTGAAGCATGGCACGCAGAGCTCCCACCACTGAGACTTCCCAGACATCTGCTGGGCAGGATTATTACTCACTGTCTCTTGAAGGTCCCCCAGTCCCCAAGGCGGTCTGGGGTTGGCAGGTCTAGGAGTCCCTAATTCAGGAATTGGGTGCAATTCTTGTGATAGATATTATGAAACAGGTATGGACTTCACTGGTAATTTGGTCCAGATTTACCAAGAGGCTCCTGGTGATTCCCAGACACTGGCTGGCCATTGCAGTCCTGGGTTCTCTCCAATTCTGTCTCATTAGTAAAATTACATACCTGATCAAGTTGATCTTCTCTGCTAATGATGCTGGGAAAACATCCTCCCTCCTTCATACAGGCTGGTGAGGCAGTTAAAAGACTTGGATTCGGGAAGACGTAAGTTCACATTCCCTTCACTAGCAAGTATCGGAGACTCTGGGCAAGTCACTTAAATTCTGAGCCTCAGTTTCCTCATCTGAAAATAGGAATAACAGTCCCTCTAGCACCCCTCTTTAATGGACCCCCAGTGGCGAATTTATAGCAGGATGTGGGCAGGAGCTGCCCAGGGTGGGTAGTCATGGATGGATGGAAGAGGTGAGTACCACCAGCCTTCCAGGGGTGCTGTGAGATTCCAATGAGATCCTTAGGCCATGGGATCCTGGCTCTGCAGCTACAGGGGACCCCTGTGGCCAGCCAGCCCAATCTCCTCATTTCAAAGGTCCAGAGAGTAAAATGACTTTCCCTAGGTCACACATAACGAACATAAAGGGCTTTGCAAATTTCAGAATGCTATGGAAATGACCCATTCTTGGAATTATTAAATAATGCCATGCCAACTGAGGGGCAGCTTGGTGTACTGGATAGAGAGTTGGATTTGCAGCAGGAGACCTGAGTTCGAGTCCTGTCTCTGGCACATACCAGTGGTTGGGTGATGTTGGGCACCCATCCCCTCTCAGCCTCAGTTTCTTCATCTTTAAAGTGAAGGTGTTGAATATCAGGAAATGGCAGTGCCCTAATCAGCTGAAATGGTCTCACCATCTGCTTTGGCTGTGCCCTAAGGAATATGGGATCTTCTCATCTGACTTGCAGCTAAAACCTTCCATAATGGTGGAAACCTTTCTCCTGGAGAAGGAGGACTGGCTTACCAAACTTTCCATTTGTATTTCCAAGGCTTAGCACAGTGCTTGGTCCACAAGTACTTAATAAATATTTCATTCATTCTAAGGTCTCATCCAGTTGTAAATCTAATCTAGGAATTTAAGGACAAACATTTAATAGTCACCTCCTAAGGACCAGGCCTTGTCCTTGGTGCTGAGGATTCACACAAAAATGAAAGCACCCTCAAGGAACTTAGAATCTACTGGGGGAGTCACCTGGGTCAAAACATTAACTATATGAACTGAATAATGATGGCTCCCATTTATATAGTGTTTTATGATTCACAAGCACAGAATCTCATCTTAACCTCAAAACAACCTTATGATAGAGAAAGAGGTCACAGAGAAGGAAACTGAGACTGAAGTGAGGGGTGGGACTTAGTGCTCAGTAGGCTGCCTGGCACATAATAGGTGTTTAATGTTCCAAGCCCAATGTGGTGTCCTCCTACTGTGTGCGGCTTCCAGAGCATTTTGCTATAGTCTGGAAGGAAAGAAACTTGGTAATTGCTAAATCATTCAAATTCTCTACTATTCCAATGGATCTGTGATCTCATCAGTGTGAACCATGGGATCATTGATTTCCAGATGGGAGGGACCACAGGGGCCTCATTTTCACAGATAAGATACCTGAGGCCCAGAGGGATGGGTGCTTTACAAGAAGAGTAAGCCAGAGGTGGGGTCTGGACCCAGGTCCTTTGATTCCACGGAAAGCTGCCCATCCTGGGGGCCTCTTGTCTGTCCTAGTCTGTAAGTCCACCACACAGAGGGTACTCCCAGCATGCTGGGGGCCTTGCTGACTCTTGATAGTGTGGGGGTACCAGTGAAGGAGACAGCTGGTCCCTGGGCTCCCTCCTCATCATCCCACCTGACTTAGGAATGAGAAAAGCAGAATGAAGTGTGTCTGAGCTGACCTCCCCTTGAAGAAGGCGATGCAGATCAGAAAGGAGTGGATACTGACAAACTGGAAAATACAAAAATTCAAAACAAAAGCATCTTCGTACTTGGACTGGATTTTGTGCATTTCTGAGGCAAAGGAAAACACAAACACAATGTCACTGAAATCTGGGCTCTCCCCCAAATACTTTTTCGCTGTCCCTCCCCCCACCCAATCACTATGCATAGAACGCTGAATTTGGGAAACCGGCTAGGCCAACCTGCTTATTCTAGAGGTGGGGAAACTGAGGCACAGAGAGGGGAGGGCCATACAGCAAGGTTATAGTTAGAAGTAGGACCTTGGTTAAAAGGGCAGATGTTACCAACTTCTAGTAATGCCTGAGCTAGCAGGTCTGCCACCTCCCTGAAAGAACTCGCTTTTCAGAGATCAAGCAGCAGAGGCCATATGGTGTAGTGGAGAGAGGGCCTGCATTAGGGCCAGAAGAACTGAGCTCCAGTCTTGCCTCGACCCACTTGAGTTGTGTGGCCCGGAGCCCCTCAGTCTCTCTGGCTTGGAGAACGTCTGAATGCCCCAGACAAACTCTAAAATCCTTCAGGCACAGGAGACGTGCTGCTCTGCATCAGCTGAAGGGGTTTCCATAGTGGGGACACCTTACATGGGTGAGACCCCGAGGCCAATCTTCCCCCTCCCCTGCCCCCAGCAAAGTGAGCAGGTTTTTTTTTTTAAATTGTGGATCTTAAATTTGTTTGAAAAAGACCCCGTGAACACAGGTCAGGAGCTCTGGCTCTGGGGAGTCATCTACACTAGCAGATTTGGGGCACTGGGTAATCTGGCTGACCCTGGTTTTTCTCCCTTTTCATTCTTTGTTCCAGAGCTAGCTCTCTGGGGAAGGGCATGAAGAGGGTTGTACTGGGAAGTAAAAGGGATGCAAAAACAAAGAGAGTCATGATCTTTTAGATAAAAAGAAGCTGTTAGATAAAAAGAAGCTGTTAAAGCATTCTCCTTCGTCATGACATTAAGAGCAGTCCTCCGTGCATCTCAGGTCACGTCTGTACAAACACTTGTCCAAGGCCAGATTTGAACTCGGGTCCTCCTGACTCCAAGGCCAGAGCTATATCTGCTTTGCCACCTAGCTGCCCCACCAACTTCCTTCTTAAACCACAGCACCCAGAACTGAACTCGACTCTCCAGATGAGGTTGGACTAGGGCAGACTACAACAGGATGGAAGCCATGGCCTTCTTCCTGTGGCCCAAGGTTGTATTAGCTGCTCTTGCTTAGCATCGCATGGCTGACTCACACGGAGTTGGAGGTCCACTAGAACCCCCAGAGCTTTTTCAGAACAACTGCTGTCTAACCATGCCCCTCTCCACCCCATATTTCTGAAGTTGATTTTTGTGACCTCTGCATGTCCCAGGCACTGTGCGAGGCACCCAGAGACACAAGAGAGAAACAAAAGCAGTCCTTTCCATCAAAGGGCGTGGACATAGACAAATATACAGTAAATAAATAGAAAGTAAATGTAATGTGTGTGTGTGTGAGAAAGAGAGAGAGAGAAAAAAAAACGCTAACAACTAGGGACATCAGGAAGGAGATGGCTTTTGAGTTGACCTTTCAATCAACCAATCAATCACTTTGTGAGATGGAATAATGCCTGAGCCTACAGTCAGAAAGACCTGAGTTCAAATCCTGACTGAGACACTTCCTAGCCATGTGACCCTGAGCAAGTCACTTAACCTCTGTCTGCCTTGGTTTCCTCATCTGTAAAATGGGGATCATACTAGCACCTCCCAGGATTGTTGGGGAGATCAAATGATATAAAGCACTTAGCACAATGCCTGGAATATAGAAGGTGCTTAAAAATATTGCTGCCTTCCTTGAGTCAGGTAGACCTGAGATCAAGTCCAACCTTAGACACTTATTAGCTGTGTGACTCTGGATAAGTCACTTAACCACCATCTACCTCAGTTTTGTCAGCTGTAAAACGGAGGTTATGATAATAACACCTCCCTCCCAGGGTTGTTGTGAGGCCAAATAAGATAATATTTGTAAAGTGCTTAGCACAGGGCCCTGCACATAGTAGGTGCAATATAAATGCTAGCTGCCACTACTACTGCTGCTGCTGCCACTACAACTCTTCCTCCTCCTCCTCCTCCTCCTACTACATGCCAGAGGCCAAGATGGGTGCTGGGAATACAAAACCAAAACCCCAACAGTTCAGAATCGTACATCCCAACTCTAAGCTGTGTGACCTTGGGCAGTCCCTGCGCCTCTCTGAGCCTCAGTTTCCTCATCTGTAAAATGAAGGGGCTGAGAGGCCTAAATCTGGGGGCTTAGGTCTGGGATGCCGTCCTAACCCAGCAGCTGAGCACAGAAGAATTTATCAAACAAATACAAGATTGGAAGCAGCTGGAGGGCAGAGACTGAGCCATTTTTGGACTCTGTACCCCAGGACTGAGTACAGCGGTGGCTCCACAGATGTCTTCTGTGTGATCGGACGTTTTCATCAAAGACCCGGAAACGGCATCGATGGTTTGCCCATCAGACTGGCAGAGAACCCAGAGCCAGCAGCGACTTCACCAGGCTAGAGCCATGAGCTGAACCTACTCAGACTGATAGAGATAAATGCAAAGGCTTGAGCTTGGGTACGAAAAACCAACTTTAGGAATATGGGGTGGAGAGGGGCATGGTTAGACAGCATTGTTCTGAAAAAGCTCTGGGGGTTCTAGTGGACCTCCAACTCCGTGTGAGTCAGCCATGCGATGCTAAGCAAGAGCAGCTAATACAACCTTGGGCCACAGGAAGAAGGCCATGGCTTCCATCCTGTTGTAGTCTGCCCTAGTCCAACCTCATCTGGAGAGTCGAGTTCAGTTCTGGGTGCTGTGGTTTAAGAAGGAAGTTGGTGGGGAGCTAAGTGGCGCAGTAGATATAACTCTGGCCTTGGAGTCAGGAGGACCTGAGTTCAAATCTGGCCTCTGACACTTGAAACTTGCTAGCTATATGACCCTGGGCAAGTCACTTAACCCTGACTGCCTCACAAAAAAAAAAGAAAAGAATAAAAAAAAAGGAAGTTGGTGAGCTGGGGAGAGAACCTTGAATCTATGATAGATGGGAAAGGATAGAAAGGCAGGCAGGAAGGAAACAAGCATTTATTAAGCACTTACTATGTGCCAGGCATTAGATGCTTCCCTGGAATTAGCAGCACAGCACCTCCTCCTCCCTGCTTCCCATGGGACTCCTGCTCTTCCCACTCCTTGGAAGCTACCACTTATCCTAACTGGTCAGAGCATACGCCATTGGGATGTAGATTTTGTCAAGAAGGATGAGGAAGGAAAGATTCATGATGGAGTTAGTGCAGAGGGCACTCCGAGATGCCCAAAGGGAAGAAAAAGGCTGGTGAGTCACAGCCATGCCCAAAGTGGCTTCATTCATTCATTCATTCATTCATTCATTCAGCCCCTCCTGTGCAGAGTGTTGGGGAGAACATAACATTTAGGTAAGCTGGGTGTCTCTGCCCTCATACAGCGCACGGGTTAGCAGGAGAAGACACAAAGGTGTGTAACTGTTTATACCAATCTATGGAATCATAGATTCAGAGCTAGAAGGAACTTTAAAAGACCATTGAGTCCAATCTCCTCATTTTACAGATGAGGAAACTGAGGTCCAGGGAGCAGAAAGAACTTGACCAAGATCCTTCAGCTACTAAATGGCACATCCAGATTCGCACCCGGGTCCTCTGACTCACAGCCTTCTAGCTGATTTCCTGTCCCTCTGTACAGCTGCCAAAGTGATTCTCCTTACTCATAGATCTGACCAAAGTCCAGCTTGAGCACCGCCTCCTACAGAGGCCTTTCTGAATCCTCGTACCCCAAATCACCTGGAATTTGTTTTCTGTGAATTTATCATGGGAGAGCCTGGGGGAGTGCCAGGGTCCAAGCCAACCTCTGCCATGCACTGGCTGCTTGACCCTGGCCAAGTCCCTCCACCCCTCAGTGTCCAGCTGTAGAAAGCGGGCTGGTCTACACTGGTTGAGAGAATTTCCTCACCAGATGCTCCCTACTCCAATGCGTTCATAGGTCTCATTAAGAAACAAAAAAAACAAACTCTCTAATTTGTAAATGCTAATAGAATTTAAGTTCCTGGAGGACAAAAATGATATTTCTTTGAACTTCTAGTCCCTAGCACAAAGCCTGGTATGAAGTCAGTGCTTAATACTTAGCCAATTCTGGTGATGAATTATCCAAGGTCACACGAGGGCTCATCAGTGGCAAAGAGGAAATCAGAAGCCAGATCTCCTGGTGACATGATGGCTTCCCAGAAACCCCCCACTTCTCTGAATTGAACCACATGGAATGCTGATTCTTGGCCTCTTCTCTGCTGAGGATGGTCCCTGGTTATGGAGCACCCAAATGCCAGCAGAAGAGTCTAAACTGGTCTTGGCTGCCAGGACAGAGCTCCTGCAGATTTTTGAGCAGAGGATCTTAAGGAGCACAGAAATGTCTCATTATAACCAGAAGAGACTCACCCATTTCAGGAGGAAGATATTTGTGGCTTTGGACACCAAGATGGAGACCACTGTCTGGTACAGGATGATGGCTGTCAGGAGCCATGTTATGAAGGCAACCTGCAGAAGGAATCAGGATGGGGTGAGTGCCACCCACACACATGTAGTGGACAGGGCCTGCTTTGGGGGTGCCAGGGAGCCCCAAAGGCGGGATCCTAAGACTATTAGGGCTGCAAGAGATCTGAGAGATCATTTAGTTCAACATCATGTCCTTATAGATGAAGAGACTGAATCCTCAGTGAAACTCAACGTCTCCTGTGAAATCTAGGTCACAGAGTGTGCAGGTAGAAATGGATTAATGGTACTGACTTGCCCATAAAATAGTCCCACAAAAGATGTGGTCCAGCAAGGGACCCTGGAGATCCTCCATTCCAACCCTGTCATTTTAGAGATGAGAAAACTGAAGCCTGGCGAGGTGAGGTCCCTCTCCCAACCCGTAAATGGGAGAGTCAGGACTCGGGTCTGGTGGCCAGGTTTCCCAGGCTGGATGAGAGGCAGTATGGCTCAATGATAGAGCGCTGGCCTTGGACTTAGAAAGTCATGAGTCCAAACTTGCTAAGTGGACTTTATCTCTTCCTGCCAGTTTCCTCATCTGTAAAATGGCCATAATCATAGCCACTCTGTGCCCTGCCCCAGGGTTGTTAGGGAGCTAAAGTGAAGGTCATAGATATATGGGGCTTTGCCAACTTTTAAAGGCCAGTACAAATATTGTTGTTATATTAGAGAATTCCGAGAGGGCTAGGAGACCACATCTACTACTATCTGCTAGAATAGTCTCTAAGAGACCTAGGTTGAGAACCCCTCTTGTAGCCAGGTCTAGGGGGAACCAGGGTCCTGGGGCCCTGTTACCATGGCAACGATGATGGAGGATGACATGAAGACGCACTGGGAATAATTCTTTTGGGGAAAGTATGGCTCTTCTAGGTTGATTGGGTTCCGAGTTACCAGAGGCGCCATGGCTTCAAGGCCGTTCCTGAAACAGAGCCCCACAGCCCACGGTGGGCACATTCAGCCCCGGGTATGGGGGAGGGGGCAGCCGCGGCTTTGGGCCAGGCCAGGCAGCAAGGGTCTCTCTCATCTCCTTGTAGTCAGAGTAGTCCCAGCGATAGACCAGCCTGGCGCTCCTATGTTTCCAGTACTCCAGGAATGTCACCGCCCACAGAGACATGATGAACACACTGAGGAAAATGGTCCCACTATTGTCAAAGAGACGGCCGGTCTGTGTTGGGAACCAGAAGGGGAGAGGTGAGCGATGGGGCCAGGGAGGAGAGCAGCCCGGGCTCACGGGGGCTGACCCGGCGGAGCAGGAGCAGAACCAGGGCACCTGCACAGACGTGTTAAAGATTTGGATGCTGGGATCGGGGGGGATGCAAAAAGCCAGAAGACAGGAAGCCAGCCCTCCACGGGCTGGGAAAGCATGACAAACCCATGTCTGAGAGGGCATGCTTCTGCTCCTTCTGCTTAAGCCTCGAAACAAACTTGGCTAAGTACCTGTAGTGTTCATTAAGTGAAAGGCAATGTGGACCAGTAGAGAGAGAGCTAGATCTGACCCTACTTATTGGCTGTGGGACCCTGGGCCAGTCCCCTAACTTCTTAGTTCACTAGGCAACTCTCAAAGACCTGGGGGCAAAGCAGGGCTGGCCTGCACTGGTGCAGGGAGTTTCCATACCAGGAGGTCACTAGCCCAAAAGGAATCCCAGGTCTGGCTCATGATTAGGTAAATGTTCACTGTCAGGTAGATAAGGAATGAGTGAGTGGAGTTTTAGAAAGAAAGGGATCAGCTTGGGCTCGAGGTTGTAATGCAAGTGGGGGGCGGTGGGAGAGGGCTGCTTCCCCAGAACAGCACACCCTGTGCCTCCCCCCCCCACCAGAGGCCCAACCAGAAACTCTCCAAAGATGGAGCCGATCTGGAGGTCTCTTCTGGTAGTGGGGGGTGTCAACCCTGCCGAAACAGAACACTCTGGTCTGCGCTTTCATGCCAGTGGGACCCCAACCACCAGTCAGGCTGGGGTTTGCCAGACAAAGGCAAATGGGGCAGGAGAGAGTGCTAAATTTGGAGTCAGAGGTGTCTGGGGCTTCCTCACTGTATTGCTCTGGACAAGCCGAGGTTTGCTCATCTATAAAGGTGGCTGGTCTGTGTGGTCCCCTCCAGCTGTTGGACTGGGACCCTCTGATGTAGGCAGAATGAATGAGGCTTGGCCAACCTCAATTCAGAGAGGCTGACCACAGGGGAAGGATTGGGGGAGGGGACCTTGGGGAAGGTATGAAACCTTCTTTTTTAAAAATTTTATTTGTTTTTAGTTTTCAACATTCACTTCTATAAGATTTTGAGTTCTAAATTTTCTCCCCCTCCCTCTGCTCCCTCCTCCCTGAGATGGTGTGCAATCTAATATAGGCTATATGTACAGTCATATTAAATATATTTCCACATTAGTCATGTTGTAAAGAAGAATTAGAACTAAAGGGAGAAACCACGAGAAAGAAGAAACAAACAACAAAAAAAAGAGCAATAGTGCGGTTTCAGAAAAAACTGAAACTGATGCAAAGTGAGGAAAGCAGAACCAGGAGAACATTGTACATAGTAACAACAACATTGTACAATGATCAACTGTGAATGACTTAGCTGCTCCGATTAAGGCTATGATACAAGACAATTCCAAAGGACCCATGATGAAAAATGCCTTCCACCTCCAGAAAGAGCTGATGAATTCTGACTAGAGACTGAAAGAGACTTAAATTTTATTTATTTTATTTTTCTTGTTTGTGTTTGTGTGTTTTCTTTTGCAAGATGGCTAATGTTTTTCATGACTACACATGTATAATCGATATCATATTACTTGCCTTCTAGGTGGGTGGGGAAGGGGAGGGAGGGAGAGAATTTGGAATGCAAAATTTTCAAATAAAAGATTGTTAACTTAAAAAAATGTAATGAGGAAATATTTGAAAAAATAAAAATATTTAAAAAAAGAAAGAAAAGCAATGGAGGAACCTTGAAGGCTATCTAGTCCAACCCTATAATTTTGCCAATAGGGGAACTGAGGCCCAGAGAAGTTAGGTGACGTGTCAGAGGGAGGATTTAGAACCAGTGTTATCTCCACTTTATCATGCTATGCAGAAGCTGGTGGACTATCTTGGGCTTTCCTTTGGGGTATGAGTTGTTCTAGGAAGCCACTGAAGTCCCTTCCAACTTACAAATGCTTTGATTCTGTGGTTCTCTGACTCACCTCTCAACCCTAGGGTCCTAGGAAGGAGTGGCATGAAGATTTATATCACCATGGAGAGAGACAGAGATGTGCAAGGAGTTGGACTCACCCAGCCAGGCAAAGTAGAGGGTTATCTTCTCTCCAAAGTGCCTTCGGACATGATCCAGGGACTGGTATTTCATCCATTTGCTCTACTTGGCCCAGTTATGGTAGAGGATTTGATGTTGATTCATTTCCTTAGGGGCCAGTCCCCGTAGAGGGATTTGGAAGGGGCCCTGGAGAAGACAGAGAAATCTCAATCTCTAGGAGCTCTGAAAAATCTGACATTGACCTGAGGCCAGCATAGCCCATTATGATTGGAAGGCTAGATATTAGGAATTTGAAGAATGTTCTCTAATGTGGAGCAGCACTTGTCTTTCTACACAGCTGAGTGAAATTTCTCTAGCCAGTGAGTGATGTGAGACTGGGGAGGAAGATCAGAAGAGGAGAAAAATGGGTGAGTGACCTTTAAAGATGCTAATAAAGGCAGAAAGAGTTGAGTCGTGCACCGGGTGACTCCAGGAATGAATGTTAATGTGTAATGTGACATGGGATGCCAGCCAGGCTAAGGTGGCTCTGATGAATGCCTAGGAACAAAGGTTCCACGATCAATTCAACTCAGTACAACTGCATTTATTAAGCTCTTACTACATAGGAGGCACCTTGGGAGATAGAGGATAAATAAGACACTGCACCTCCCAGCAAGCCACCCACAGAGGAGGTAAGACATGTATACAGGTTACCACTATCTGACAAACAAAATAGAATGTGACCCCTGGGTCCTAGAAGAGATCCAGGGAGTTATTACTGATGGTTGGCAAACCTGGGAAATCAATCAATCAGCATTTATTAATTTCTTACTTTGTGTCAGGTACCGTGCTAGGTGTTGGGGACACAAAAATAATTACAACAAAATGAAACAATTCCTGCTTTCCAGGAGTTTACATTCTATAGGGTGGCATGTGATTATATAAATAGAGTGTGAATAAACACAAAATAAGTGCAAGTTAGGGAAAGAGAGCACTGATGACAATAGCAAGCAATGACTATAGGAATATAGTATTTTATGGTGCTGGAGGAGGGGAAAATTTTTAACAGTAGAGATGGGTGGGTGGGACAGGACATTTCCAGGCATGAGCCAATGCTCAGAGATGGGAAGGGGTAGGAGGACTTATAGGGGTGGTGAGTTATCCACTTTGGCAGTAACATAGCGTATGTGAATGGGTATAGTAGGAGAGAAGACTGGACCCAGGCAAACATCCTGATTTTCCCAAAAGGGAAGAGGATATAGTCTGCAGATGAGAGAATAATTTTAGCGGAGTGCAAACTCGATGTGAGTCAACGGCTAGGCTGACTCTATTAAGATGAGGCGCAGTGTGCAGGGCTAGGGAGGTGACCATCCCACTGTCCTCTGTCCTGGCAGCCCACATCTGAAGTCTTGTGTTCAGTTGTGGGCACCACGTTTGAGATAGGCCATCGGTCAGCTGGGAGGCATCCCAGGGAGAGTGAGCAGGAAGATGAAAGCCTGGAGATGATACCCATACTCTGCTTCTCCATAGCACTCACAGGACTGGCAGGCTCACTACACATGTGGATTATCTCGCGACAAGCCTGAGTTGTGATCCAGGTCTCTTGATTCCAAGTGTGGGCTCTCTTTACAATACTGGCATGGGGTGGGGGGGGATCTTCAACCCACTTTCCAGTCCAGAATGAAATCACAGAAAATGAAGTAGGATTGTAAAGACATTGTCAGACTGATTGAACCCTTAACGAACTGTGAACAAGTTTCTCCTTCAAATAAGAGCTAATTCCCAACTGATAAGTGGCCAAAGAATATGAATTGGCAGCTTTCAGAGAAAGACATCCAAGCTACCGAGAGCCACATGAAAAGCTGCTCTGAATCACTAGTAATTAGAGAAATGCACATTCAGACAACTCTGAGGTACCATCTTGAACCTTCCAGATTGGCTAAGATGACAGAAAGGCAAAATAATGAATGTTGGGAGAGCTGTGGGAAAACAGGTGCCTTAATGAATGCATTGCTGGTAAAGCTGTGAAGCCGGTCTAACCGTTCTGGAAAGCAATTTGGAACTATGCCCAAAAAGCTATTGCATCTGCAAACCCTTTGACCCGGTGATGTTGCTACTAGGTCTATAACACACAGAGATGAAAGAAAGAGGAAAAAGACCCACACGTGCAAAGAAGTTTAGAGCGGCTCTTTTTGACGTGACAAAGACTTGGAAGCTGAAGGGAAGTCCATCAAGCGGGTGATGGCTGAACAAGTGACAGTGTATGAACATGATGGAAGATTGCTGTGCGGTACGAAACAGTAAAGGGGATGGCTTCATAAAAGCCCAGGACGACCAGTGTGAACGGATGCAAAGTGAAGTGAGCAGAACCAGGAGAGCAACGTACACAGTAACAGTAACATCATAAGGAAAATCAACTTCGTCAACGCAGCGACCCACTGTGATTCCACAGGACTCGTGATGAGATATGCTACCCACCTTCAGACAGAGAAGGGATGGACTCAGAGTGCAGATGGAGGCACATTTTTTCTGTTTCTTTCCTCTTTTTGCTTTTCTCCCCTCCCCCAACCCTGTGTGCCATGTGGCCATACATATTTGTAAGGGATTCTGTTTTTCTTGCTTTCTCAATGGATGAGCGAGGGAAAGGGAAGGAAAACAATTTGGAACTGAAAGTAAAATAAAATTGAATTTAAAGTGTTTCTGCTTGATTGAATTAGAAAGGGTGTCTGGCAATTGGTTAGATAAAAGACTGACCAAATTCCCAGGTAATCTTTAAAAGACAGTTTGAGAGCTGGTCAGTTCGAATGAACCTAGGCTTAGAGCAACAACATTGTGGAGTGTGTACTCCTGAGGGCAGTGGCGGTAGAGGAGGGAGTGGGGAATTTCCTTCTTCACCGTGCCCATCTACCAAGACATCTAGCAGCATAGCGGCTTGGTCAGTAGGAGATATCCCAAAGGAGAGAATTAATTCATGAGAGTTTTAGACCCAGTTGTGGGACAAGAGACACAAATTCTTCTATCAGACATACTTTCTCCATACAGAGAGAAGTAGCCTCTACAAGGAATGGGCCTCCTGGCCGCAGGGGAGAATGCTAACTATGGATTCAAAGGAGAGCTGGTCTTGGCAATCGAGAGTCGAGCTGTAGAAAGAACTCCATGGAGAAAGGACATAGAGGCCCTACAGGTACAGAAGGGTGAATTGCCTTAGTCATGTGTATTCCCTATATCTAGGTCCCACTATAATTATACTCAAAATTTGTGTTCACTCTTTCTGTGGATACTGTATGTACTTGAGGGAAAGGGAATGCAGGAATATGGGGATGGGGAATGTTTTATAGCTAATGTTCTTACCTATATTATCTTATGCCCTCGTTACAAGGTAAGCTCCTTGATGGAAGGAACTGTCTTTTGCCTCTTTTTGTATCCCTAGTGCTTAGCATAGTGCCTGGCACATAGTAGGTCCTTAATATGTTTATCGATTGATTGATCTTAGTAAAATACTTTTCTTTGAGCTAATTCTGTCTACGGGCTGACTCTTGAGGGGAAGCTCACTGGTGGGGGCTCATAAGCTACAGTTTTAAGACTAGGTACTCAGAAGGCCTTCCTTGGGCCTCAAAGTAGAAGCTGCCCTCTGGTGAGCAGCCCAGAGGGCATGCTACAGTAAATTGCCTCTTTAGTTGCCTAGAGTGTAATAGAGGATGGGATGTATGCACAATAACTATGGTCAAAGGGTGAAGGAGAGGGCTAGCCAAAGTGCTAAGAGAGATCAGAAGGGGGATGAAGTGGGGGCAGCAACCACTGTGACCTACGGGTATAAGGGAAGATACAGGATTCCAGGTCTAGAGCTGGTGGAGACCTCAGCCATTTCTTCCAGCCCCCTCATTTTATAGATGAGGAAATTGAAGGCCAAGAGAGTTTAGGTGACTCACCCAGGGTCACACAGCTAGCTAGTAACCCTCAGAGATGGAATTCAAACCTGTGTCCTTCTTGACTGCAAGGCCAAAGCTCAGTGCACTACCTCTAATGATGAGGTGGAGATCACTTCACTGCCTGTGCTCCATGCACAAGGGCAGGCTGGACTCTGTCATTTCTTTCTCCATATCCTGCCCCTCCCATGGCCAGCCCCTGCCTATCTACTTCAGCCACCAATAAAGCTGACTTCTCTGTAGGGCTTTCAACGTGCAAAGTGCTCCACTTACATGATTTTATTGACATCTTTCTGTGAATCTTCACTTTAAAGACCTGTTCACTGTCCTTTTTTACCCAGTTTTACTTATAAAAATTTATTTATTTAATGTTCTGGGATTAAGGTTTACTCTTCTGTGGAATTAAGCACAGAATGTGACTTGCCCAGGCCTCTTGCCCTGAAGAATGGCCCTGGTGATGAGCTAGAATTCCTGAGTAGAACAAAATTGCATCACTTCACAGACAACTGGACATGGCCTGGCCCTACCTCCAGTCTGGTCTCAGTGAGATAGCTCTTCCTTGGGTCCCCAGTGATCTCTCTGTTCCCAGGGATTTCTTACCCTGGGGCCTGGAATGGGAAGGCTGCGTCTCTGTGCCTCTGTTTCCTTATTTGTAAAATGAAAGGGTGGCTCAGACAATCTTTGAGCTCCCTTCCACCTTTTCCATCTCGGCTTCTGTGACTATTCCTTAAGACTGTCTATAAGGGGACCAAGAGAGCACGGGATCTTCTGTGGGGCCCCAAATCTGTCAGTCAACAAGCATTTATTTAGCACTTACTGTGTTCCAGGCATTGTGCTATCTGCTGAGGATGCCAAGAAGGGGAAAAACATGGTGCCCACTTTCAAGGAACAGCACATCAATCAATGAACATTTATTAAGCAGCTACTGTGTGCCAGGCACTGTGCTAAGCTAACACATGTGTAGGAGAACTTTAGCTTCAGAAATGCAAGGACATACACAAGCACAATTTATAAGGAAACTGAGGCAGATGGGTTAAGTGATCAGGGTCATACAGTTAGTAGGTGTCTGAGTCTGAATTTGAACTCAGGTCTTCCCAATTTTAAATACAGCTCTCTAGACACTGTGGGTTCCCCGCTAGCTGCGTATTCACCTTAATAACCTTATTTTAATAATGACTCTACCCAGCTGAAACCCCTGAGTTCTTAGCTTTTTCATAAGAAACACTATAGGAAGCTCTGGGTGATTTTATCTCCCTTTTTTCCTTCCCTTTTATCTTTGTATACCTGGAGCCTAGATAATGCCTCACTGAAGGTATTTAACAAATATTTATTCAGTTGAGATTACGTTGTTTGGCTGAGCCCAGAGACACGCAGTCAAGATGGGCCCAACAGGGCTGTCAGGCCGCCCTCCTGCCCCTTCGTAGATAATGCTACAGATGTTCTCTGCCATAGAACACATTTTCATGGCCCCAGGTAATGACGTTAGGCACTCATGTCCCTCGGGAGCTGTCATTTTTTCTCCAGTGATTTGGGAGCCAATAATAATAGTAATGAGGATGACAAGAAGCAGTATTGTAGCAGATTTAGAAGCTCTGGGTTCAAGTCCCACCCCTAACACAGCTCTGTTCCGGAAGCTCTGGAAGATTCTGTTTGAGTCCAATCCAATAGTGGCATGGCTTCCAAAAAAGGCATGCCAGCCAACTGTCCTCCGGCTCCATTCGGTGGCCCCAGGATATCCCAAAGCACCCCGCCCTGGCCACCTCTTACCATCAGTGTTGTCTTCCATCATTAGAATGTAAGCGCCCTGAGAGCAGGCACTGTCAGCCAGTCAAGCAGAGTGAGCATTTATAAGTGCTTACTGTGTGTCGTAAGCATTTAGTAAGCACTGATGACATGGCAGCACTGTGCTTGGTGCTGGGGATACAAAGAAAGAGAGGCGCAAACACGTCTCGTCGGGAAACAGCGCATTGGTGACGGGCAGCAGATGAAGGGCGGGAAAGAGGGTGGCATCCCTTTTGTCTCTGCTGTCTCTGGTGCCTTGCACAGAGAAGTGCCTACTGCTGCTTTTTCACTCCTTCCTTCACTCCCTGCCCCTGGCATTCTACCGCCAACATTCCCTTTCCATGTGCTGCCTTCCTCTATTAGAATGGAAGCTGCTTGTGGGCAGGGCCTGTCTCTTTTTTGTCCTTGTATTCCCTAGTGCTTGGAATATAAGAAATCCTTACTAAATTCTTTCTCAGCCATCTACCCACCAGTCACTTCACTCGTTTATTCATTCACTCATTCACTCATTCATTCATTCATTCATCCATCCATTCGTCCATCCATCCATCCATCCATCCATCCATTCATTCATTCATTCATTCATTTATCTGTTCATTCACTGGCAGCCAGGCAGCTGGGGCTAGGAAGGGTGTGACTCACATCATGTAGAGGAAACACAGTGTTGAAGACGTTCTCAGACCACAGCTGCTGTATCCCAAACAGCCTTCTCCTTTCATGGCCAAATGTTGTCTTCTCAAGGATCTCGTAGAGCTAGGGAGTGGAGGGAGGGGGAGAGAAGCATTGGGCGGCCTGCTGGGGTGGGCAGGTGCACCCCAATTGCCCCATTGGGCCCTATCCTGCCCCCCATTTCTGGGCAGACATGCTGGACAGAAACACCTTCAAGAGAATTTGGCCCAGACCTCCCTGGGAGGCTCATGTCTCCCAAAGATACAACCCCAACTAGGCATGACTCTCTTGATAGCTGGCACAGGAGGCGGAGACTTCCACTGCCCTGTGGCAGAGAGGGCGTGGGAAATGCATGACGGACAATCTATTCAGATGTTGGGACTTTGCTGTTCCAAAAAGACTGACCCAAAGGAAGGCGGAGCAGAATGGTGGAGAGAGCACCAAATTGGAAGTCAGAGATCTGGGTTCAAATTCAGACACTAGCTGTGTGACCTTGGCCAAACCATTCTACCTCTCTGGGCCTCAGTTTCCTCCTCTGGAAAATGGGGGGGCTGGATGAGATGGCCCCGGAGGGCCCTTCTAGCTGCGAATTTACCATCCTGTAGGCTGCCAGTCTCCGTTCAGTCTGCCAAGTCTTTCCTGGAGTGTATGACATGTGGGGCAGCTGGCATGCAAATACACAAGTGAGGCGGTCCCTGTCCTCAGGAAGCTTCCAGTCTATGAAAGGTGTGGCTGCGTTTATTCTACAACCCAGACCAATGACGGTGGCTGGCAGTGACAGCACTTTGGGGGTTAGAGAACACTTCAGTCCTCACCACGTCCATGAGGGGTGTTATGACTCTCGTTAGGAGGAGGGCGCAGACTTGATCACCCAGCTGGTGAATCTCAAACGGAGGATCTGAACCCCAGGCTGTCCTGACTTCAAGCCCTGTGCTCATTCCTCTGCCAACCTTCACACCCTGAGCAAGGATTCCCAAGCCAGACCCAGACACCCAAGGCCCTTTTTGGTCTCAATCCTGGGGAACAAGAGGCTGAGTTATTCACTTACAATCTGGTGCCCTTTGGTGCTGGCAGAGAAGGTCTTTGGATTGTCACTGCCCAGGAACCTGCAACCATCAGACTCACAGTGAGTCAGCAGGTGACTTGATGACTGGGAAAGCCCTAGAGATCTTGGACTGCAGGCAGAGTCAGGCGTGGACCTGGGGACCATATTTTAGAAAAGAACTGGATAAGCTGGAGGAAGTGAAGAGGAGGGCGACCGGGATGCTGATGGGCCTGCAGATAACGCCATCCCATGGGGGATGGTTAGCCAGGAGCAGACACGAGAGCTCTCTCCAAGCACCCGAAGGATGGTCATGTGAGGGAGACATTAGCCTTGGAGGAGAGAACCAGGAGCAGCTGTGGGAGTTACAGAGATGTCAGTCTAGATCTGATGACAGGAAGAAAGAGGAGGGCTATCCCAGAGTGCCTCAGGAGCTAGTGGAGGAGGGAACCTGGTGTGGCTCAGGCTCCGTGGCCACTGAGGTTCTCCCCTCTCTGAACTGGAGTGATCGTGGGACAGGACGTACTTGGGACAGTGCTAGGAAAGTCTGGAGGGGGGGACTGAGGTTTCAGATGCTTTGTGCTTGGGACAGTGGTGGGTGAGTCCAGGGCCCCTGGAGTGCAAGAAGCCCCCGCATCTGACCTGCACGGCTTGTTCATCTTGAACAGGCCGGTGTAGCAGTCGTGAGGCACGTGGGGCACTCCTCCTACTGCGGGTTCCACAGGCCCAGTTTTCCCATCAGTTTAGCAGACCAGTTAGAGGGCTGGCCAGGCAGAGAACCTACCCTCATCAACCCTCCTCAGACCCCCTGGGGCCAGGCACTGTGGATTTATAGGGAGGTTTTGGACCTGCCATTCCACTCCTTCTTCCTACAGATCCTCCCTTGCTCTGCAGATTAGTCTTGGGGAGCTCCTTGGGGCAGTTCACCAAGCCAGTACTAGGCAGAGAGAGGACCTGATTCCAAGGTCAGCGGTGTTTATACTTAAATAATATATTTAATGTATTTTTATTTCATACAATCATATCTCTAGAATCAGCTAATCCAATGCTCTCATATTATGGTAGGGGAAGTTGAGGCTCAGTGACATCCCCCAGGTCGTATAAGTAGTAAGGGATTTGAACCCAGGTTGTTAACTCTAGTGTCTTTGTTTGATGGGTTGTTGTGGCCCAAGAGTCCTCACCAAATGGCTGGGATGAGCCGCTCCACCCTCCAAGAGGTTAGCCCAAATGTAGGCCCAGAAATTATCTGATTTGATTGGGTCATAGAGGGTTGGAGCAGGAAGGCACCATCCACCTGGCCCAGGGTCTGTGGATAGATCTTGGAAAGGAAAAAAGTGACATCTTTATTTTCACAAACCTCTAAGTGAAATTCAGCGTCTCCTGCAGTTATGAATGGGAGAACACTTCTTGAACAATCCTGTTCAAGGCTTCACAAGCCTTCCAGAAGGTCCACGACACACAAAAAGGTAAGAACCTCTGAGTTAATTTAATTCCCTCATTTTATAGGTGAGTAAACAAAAGCCCAGAAAAGAGAAATGACTCTCCCAAAGTCACACTGCCAGGAAGTAGCAGAGCTGGATTTGAACCATGGAACCCTAATTCTAAACCCAATACTCCATTGCGCCACACTCTTACTAGACAAGGTTCCTTAAAGCAGAGACATGTCTTAATTATCTTTGAAACTTTCATGGAGCCTAGCACAGTACTTTGCATATAGCAAACACTCAATAAATGGCTGTTGAATGAATGGATGGAGGCCCACCTGTCTGCTTGCCTGGATAGATGTATGGATGCAGGGATGAATGGGTGGATGGATAGATGACTGGCTGGCTGGAGGCCTGCTTACCTGGATAGGTGGTTGGATAGACAGATGGATGCCTACTTGCTTGCCTGGATAGATAGATGAATGGGTGGATGGATGGATGGATGGATGGATAGACGGATGGCTGCCTACCTGCCTGTTTGCCTGGATGGATAAATAGAAAGATAGATAGATAGATAGATAGATAGATAGATAGATAGATAGATAGATAGATAGATAGATAGATAGGTAGATAGATAGATAGATAGATAGATAGATAGATAGATAGATAGATAGATAGATAGATAGATAGATAGATAGATAGATAGATGGTTGGGGGAATAGATGGGCTGCCTGCTTGCCTGGATAGCTGGATGGAGGGATAGATAGATGGCTGCCTACCTGCCTGCTTGCCTGGATAAATAGATATATATATAGAGAGAAAGATAGATGGATGGATGGATGGGTGGATGGATGAAAGTACACAGGAATGTATCAGGGGTGCTTTTCTCCCCATTGTAACTTTACCACCTGCCCTGATAATCCATGCAGATTTTTTCCTGACTCCCAATAACAATGATAGAATGGTGGGCTTTCCAAGAATGACAGAGGCTGTGCTTCTTTCTGGGAGATGGAGGATGGTCCTTCTGCCCCTGCTGGACACCTTTCCTGCAGGGGCATCTTCCTCCTGAGAGCCTCAGCATAGTGACAGAGGACATCCATGGGGCACTGGGCAAGGCATAGTGTAAGGATCTCTTTCCACTCTGAACTGCTGGAAGAAGAATGACCAGAAAGCATATTAGCCCCTGAAAAAGAGCCCCTATACTGTGCATAGAGTGCTTGCCATAGGGATAGTCCTTGAATGTTGAGGGCCAGTTCTGACGAGTCAGAGGATTCAGGCCAATCCAGGATTTCCCTGTTGTTTTCCTCTGTCTGATGGCTGCCTAAGTCAGGATCTCTGACCCCCTTTGCTCTCTCTCTCTCTCTCTCTCTCGAGAACAGAAGGACCTTGAAGATAACAGGGAGGTGAGGAAACAGTTCAGGGGGGGCTCCCCCGGATACTGTTCCCATGAGAAAAATAATTGTTGATACTTTGCCTTTGCTACTTTGGGTGATGTTCCCATGCATTAGAGTTATAAAAACCCGAACCCTCAGATTAATAAATGGAGTCTGTTCTTTATACCTCCCACCTGGCCCGTGTGTCTTTCTCTCTTCATACCCAACCGGAATTTAATCACGACCCAGGCAGATGCAGGTGCTCATGACACTTGAAGAATTTTTAGGCATTTGGAGGGCCCACTTTACCCAATTCTGAGGGCCAAGAAAAGGCCCTCATGTCATCTGCTGGCTCAGAGATGCTTTAACTTGATTTTCCAGGAGACCGAGCCTTTCATTCTACAATAGATGGAAGGTTACCTGTTGTGAGAAGCAAGGTCCTCATACTAAAGTGTGAATGACTATTCAGAGCTCCTCTGTGAGAAGGGGGAGGGAATAGAGGGCACTGGGTAACTGAAGCTTGGGGGAGCCTCAGGACTATGGAGGAAGGACATAGGGGAGGCAGGGGCACAGATTTCTGTCTAATGAATAATGGTGCCTCAGGTTGGCTCTACCAGAACTTAAAGCCCCAGACTTTTGATCGGTCAAAGAGAGTTGCTTCCACTATCTTGGATCTTAAATTTGAAGGGGTGAGTTTGTTAAAGTGATTTCTCACTTTGGAACATAGTGGTGTTTGGAGGTCATTCCCGGCGGAGGTTCCCAAACTGGCTCGGAATCAACTTTGCAGCTTTCTTGTTGACTATCAGTATGCTGTGTAATAGCACACATGACCCCCCATATCCCACCTCTGCACGTTTGCCCGGGCTGCCCCCAAGCCAGGAATGACCTGCCTCATCACTTCCGCCCCTCAGAGTCTCCAGAATCTCGTCAAGGTCCGCCCAGAGGCCACCTCCACCATGAGGCCTTCACTGCTTCTCTCAGCTGCCAGGATCCTGCCCACAAAATCTTGTGGTATTTACCTTGCATTTCTTTTGTACAAACTTGCATGGGTATGTACCTGACACATGTCATTTCTCCTGATGGAGTGAAGGTGAACTGAAGGCAGGGAGGCTTTTTAGTCTTTGTAGCCCAGGTCTAGCACAGTTCCTGGTACATAGTAGGTACGTAATAAATGCTCGTTGGTTCACTGGTACATAGGTGCTTAATAAATGCTTACTGGTGGACTGTCCAGCACTGCATAGCTGAACCAGGGTCTTCTAATCTCTGCTCAGTTTACCGTGGAGGATGGGTAGAAGGGAGGAAGCCAGGGGGCTCGGGCACCAGGCACGTAGTTCCTTAGCAATGGGGTGTTGTAAATGGGTGACTTAGGATTAAGGACAGCAGGCGTCCTGATTTTATGGAGCTGTTTGTTGGGTTGATGTGACTTCTTTGGCCACTGGCCAAGGGAAACCTTAAGCAGAGTGTGCCTCTGTGTGTGTGTATGTGCATGCATGTGTGTGTGAACGTGGGCACGCGTGCTCGGACACACGTGGGCATGCCCTAGCACCCTCTAAGACGGTCACTTTTCGAGGGTGTTGCTTGTGTCTTCTTCCAGGATGTCTCTCCTCTGGCTTGGCGTGGCATCTTGTCCCCTTCAGGAACAATTCTGTGCTCAAGGATGAGGGGACAAATAATCCAATTGAGCCAGGACTGGTTAACCCCATCCCTTGTGCCAAGCACACGTCCTTAGCGACCTTACATTCTACCAGGGTGGCGTATCATTTGTATACAGAGAAGTGAGTCAGGGTATGGACTCAAATACCCCAAAATAGTTGGAGAGGGGAATCCTACCAACTGCAGGGAGGAGCGAGGGCCTCTTCTGGGAGATGGCGCTGAGCTAAGCTGAACCTTACAAGGTTGCTGGGGATGCTGGCTGTGAGGCCAAGGCGAGAAGGCCCATGAGCAAATTTGTACAGAGGCCAGGAGCTGGGTCGTGGAGCACTGTGTTCAGGGCACAGGGAGCCGGCCAGTCGAGCTGGAATTTGTGTGAGGGGCAGGCCTGTGAAGAGAGATTGAGCTAGGCTTGGAGAATTTTAAATGCTAATGAGCACTTTGTACGGTATCTGGTTTCTACAATAACACCTTGAAGACGAACAGCTCTGAAAGACCACAGGACTCTATCGATGCAAAGGCCTCTGACCAGCTGCCAGGGGCCCATGAGGAACCACCCTGCCCACTGCCTGGCGGAGGCAGATGCCTTCTGGACCCAGTCAATGCACTAATTAGTTTTGCTTGACTGCATATTTATTACAAGGGCTTTTTTCCCCCAAAATGGTGGGGAGATGTGGGAGAGAGAGAAAACTGACTTTTGTTCATTAAAAAAATCAAATTTTACAAGAAAGAAAAACATTTTAAAGTTGGTATATTATCCTGCGGGGCAACTGGCAGCCCCTGAAACTTGTTGAGCAGGTGAGTGACTTGGAGATATCTATGTTAGGAATTTTACTTTAGCAAGTGTAGGAAGGCTGGACTGTGGAGTGGAGAGGCTGGAGGCAAGGAGATCCATTAGGAGCTGGCCCAGTGGTACAGGGAAGGGAGGAGGGCGTGCCTAGGATAGAGCCCCGGATGGCCCCTGTTTGGTAAGTGCTCTTTAACGCTCCAGCCCGTCAGTCTAGGTGAGGGGAGGAGCCCGTCTGAGCACAAGTTAGAGGTGAGTGGGCGTGGCAGGTGGGAGCTGGGCGGGGCCGCATACCTGTTCCACCTGTAGCTCAAGAAATCCCGCCTCCCTCCAGAGTGGTGCTTATATTCTTTCTTTTCATGCTTATCATTTCTGGTCCTGGCCTTATGTCGCTTTTTTGGAGGTCCATCTTCCCACACCAGGATGTCGTCTGGTGCTAAAAGATAAAAATAGGGATCTGGCCTTCGGGAGACTCCGCCCCCCGACGTAGATGGCCCCGGGCATACCTGCCTTTTCTGTTCTGGTCACCATGGGTCCCACCAAGGGGATGTCAGACACAAGAGTTGCCTTTGGCCCTTTGGGTGGTTTCCTCCTCCCCCTGGAAGCCAGACTCTCTGCTAGAGATGGTGCTGGACATCCCTTGCCCCAGGGAGGTGATGGGAAATCACCAATATGGTACGGCTTTGCCAGAATGCAGCTAAGCCCAAACAGCCTGTAGTAAACAACACACCTCCAGAGAGCTGGTCCTATAGAGAAGAAATGTGGAGCACAGCATATACTGTCCAGCCTTTTGTGATGCATCTGTTAGTTTTACTGAACTATTTCCTCTCCTCTTTTCCCTTTCTTTGGCTCTCTGGGAAGGGGAGTGGGGAGAGATACATTTATTATTTATTGACTGACTGACATTGGCAGATGTAGGTGACAAACAGAAAATCTCAATAAAAATGTTTTTAAAAAGAATAGGGGGAGAGATTTTGTCCAAAAAGGCCGAGCTGGCCCTTGGGCCCTCCTTATCAGCAGTGTTCCCCTTGGCACCAACAGGAGGCCAACCAGGCTGGAAAAAACCAAGAAATGAACAACCTGGGAAATCCTTATAATCCTGTTAAGTCAAAAACCTCAGGAATTGAGGGCTTTGACTGGCTGTCTTCTTCAACATGGCAGAGCAGCCAGAGTTCTGCATTAGGACTTGAAAAGACCTGGGTTCAGATCCTGCTTCAGACACTAGCTGCCCCTAACCTCCCTAAAATGCTGATAATACTAATTGCTGTACTTAGCTCTCCCTACTGTGAGTGTGGCATGAGATAGTCTGTGTAAAGCATGTTGCAAACCTTAAACCACCATCAAAATGTTAGCTATTATTAGAATGTGTGAACCTCTTCTTTTTTTAGACGTAGTCTTCCTTTGCTTAACCTGCACCTGTGTCTTCATCTGTTTAGAAACTCCCTTCACCAACACAGGTGGTAACTCCTGTGTTGCTCAGACAGGTGCCAGGGCACTGAGAGTTTAAAGATTTTCCCGGAGGTGTCAGAGGCTGGCCTTGAACAAAGTCCTCCCAACCCCAAGGCTGGCCCTCAGGAGAGTCAGATTTTGGGTGGAAGAGACCCCAGAGGCCATCTGGTCCAACCCCCACATCTGATAGATAGGAAGCAAGGCCCAGAGAGCTTAAGACCCAACACCACCTGGATAGTGAGTGGCAGAGTCAGTGGGAGGATCTGAACCCAGACCCTCTGACTCCAAATTTAGTATTAAGATATGAAGGCTTCCGGATTAGAAAAAAGAATGGAGCCCACAGGGCCACTGTTTAAAGGGCTGTGGGGCAGGAGCACTGCTGCAGAATCATCCTGGAGATAAGTGGCCTGTTACCTGGGAAGGGAAGGAAGTTAACCTCTCCCCACCCCCACCCTCCCCACTCCTCCAGCCACCAAGGTACGTGTCAGCTGGCCCGGAGGATTCCGTCAGGCTTGCATTTCCCTCCAGTGGCCAAAGAGGAAACCACAGCAAGTGTCCCTCAGAACCAGGCAGTCCTCGCTGCGCTTGGCTCTCTCACAGATCTCATCCTTGAGCAAGAGGAGGGCGTCTCCTGGGAACAGGTTTGCCAGCTGGGGCAGAGGTGTGTGGGTGCTCCGGGGTGTCCACGGACTCACAGTGAGGGACAGAAAACTTTCTTTAGAATGTAATCATCCGCCCATCCATCTGTCCCCCCATTCCGTGAACAGCATAGATTCTCAGGTAGGACAGGTAAGAAAGGATTAGGAGCCAGACGTCCACAACAGAACGAGGGGATCCTGAGAAGGACTTCCAAGATCTTGTGGATAGGCTCTCAGCCGATCAGAAAGTGCCCCACATGCTGCCAGGCCCCGCTCTCTTCCTGCCTCTGCACCTTTGCAGGCTTGTCCATGAAAGGAATTTGGGCTCCACAGGCAGCCTGCATAGCTGTAAGGCAGAGTCTCAACATTTTCACGGTCCTTTCTAAAACATGGTCCCAGGTGTAGCCTCCAGGGCACTTTCTTAAGGAACTAGGGGTTCCAGGGTATTTGGGGCACTGGCATTTCCTGCCCCCTCCAACACGAACATGCCGGTGCTCGCCATCCACTGAGTGCTTTGGAGGTCCATCACCTCCACTGGGCTGTGGGCATATCTACCCCCCAAACTCCTTCACTTCCGTGGATACAAGCACCAGGCTTCCAGTTATGCGGGCTCCCAGCTTGGGAATCGCCTTCCATTCTCCCTGCTCTCCCAAATCCAATCTGAGGCAAATCCTGCTGCTTTTGTCTCCCACAAGTCTCCATTCCCTAGCCACTCTTCTGCTAATCCCACTGTAACCACCCTAGCTTCTCATCTCTTCTACCCCAGGCTATTGTCAGAACATCCCAATTTGCTTCCCTGCCTCTAGCCTCTGGCCCTGCCTTTCACCACCCAAGTAATCTCCTGACACCGAGCTCTGATTGAGCATGTCTTAACACTTTCTGCTGACTCCCTAGTTCCTGTGGTATAAAGTCTGAATTCCCAGTTCTGTCATTAAAGGACTTCTCCAACCTGCTCCTGCTTTTCCAGTCTTCTCTCCCCCTCCCATCATCTGCATTCCCAACAGCATGGACAGGTTCCCCCCCCACACCCCCTTCTCCTCCTGCCCTCTCTCAGCTGTGCGGCAAAAGCGTTAAACACTTGGGGTGGAACCAAGAGGAAACAGGTGCAAGTTTCAGAGCGGAAGAATTAGGTTCAAGATTCAAAAAACTTCCTGATACCTGGAGCCGTCCCCTCCTGGATAGATTGCCTGGGGAGGTGGCGGGCTCCCCCTCATGGGAGGTGGATCTGGTTATGTTCTAGGGTGCACTTGAGGTCTCCGAGGTCCCTCCCAATGCTGAGATTCTGGGATTCCCTCGCCCAGGTCATGATTTCTCACTCCATCTCATCTTCTGCCATTTTTATCCACACTTTAACTCTAAATTCTTAACTGATCTGCCCAGTCCTAGGAGGACAAAAAAAGGACCTTCCTTTTTCCACCTGTTTCCCCATATACAGATGCTTGGGTCCATTTCTTTTGCATTGCTGTGAATTTCCATTAGGGGATTTTTGCATCTTTCCAAGGCTCAACAGAACTAATAAAGTACCATCTATGAACAGAAGCACTGGATTAACCTTCCATCAATGAGAACTCTGTGGGGGACAGAAGGTCATAGATTTAGAGCTTGAAGAAACCTTAGGAGCCACCTAGTTTAACTCCCCCACTTTACAGATAGATAAATTGAGGCCCACAGAAGCCAAATGATTTGCCCAAGGTCAAGGGAGTGGTTGAGCCAGGATTTGAACCCAGGTACTCTGATTTCAACCCTGGGTTCTTTCTGTGATCATTGCAAACTCCTTTGGCAAGCACGTTTCTTACTGATTGACACTTTACTGGATTTGGAACAAAGCTAATTCCAGTTAGTCTGCAGTTGGGTTACAATAAGGTATCATGAGCTGTACCTGGGAGGAAGCTTGTTGGAAGCCTCAAGGCTGCTCCAAATCAAACCCTGTCTCAAAATCAATGTGTAATAAGCGCAGCTGGATTTTATATTCTCTCTATCCCTCAGTCACTCATGTGTCTGTAAACATGTTGTTCTCTATAGAACCAATCTGTGAAAGTCAGCCTGTGCCCATCTCAAGTTTTTATCAAGGCTGCCATGAATGTGTGAACAGACCATTTCTATAAAAGTCAGCCATTGTACCATGACCAATGTTCCCTGCTGTTCTGAACAACTCCCAAAGACGACACCAAGACTTCTGGAGGTAAGAGAGAAATGGAAGGAGAACTTTGTTGTTGTTTTTTTTATCAAGAGTTGTTAAACATTTTGTTAAACATATCAAAGACATTTTTTTGTTTATCAAGAGGCTTTTTTTTTTTATCAAGAGTTGTTAAACACATCAAAGAAATGAACAGCTCCCTGGGAAAGGTAGGAGCAGGGGATGAGGAATGTGGTGAATCAAAAAACCAGGTGCTTCAATTGCAATGTAAACATTCTATGATTCTATTACTTAGAGTCTATGGTAAAAAGAAATAGTAATAACTTTCCTGTGGAAGTCTGAAGTTGTGACAGCAAATTAGATTCATTGGAAATTTGGAGTAATGTTTTCACTGCAAGTTAGTGTTTTGAATTCAAGCTAAGACATTAAAGGTTCATAGAAGGTTAGAGTTGCCAGGGGCATCGGAGTTCAAGAAGCCAACGAGTTATTCGTATGTCATCTCCCCTATTTGAATGTAGATCCTCGAGGCCAGAGACTGTTTCTTGCCTGTCTTTATCCCCTGAACTTAGTTCAGAGTCTGGTATATAGTAAGCACATAATAAATGCTTATCTATCAATTTACTGATATAGTAGAGTCCTTCTCTCCCTTATTCAGATCAGCAGGAGGAAAATTCCATAACTTTTTGAAACATGGAGAATTTTGGAATTAGACAAACACAGTGGTTGGGACTGGATCTGAATTGACAATTATGTGAAAACAAAGAAAAAAATCATGAAGCATGAAATATTTGAGAAAGATGCTTACAGAGAAAGACTCTCAACTCGGTCCAGTTCTTCTAATGTCCCATCGTCAGGAGGGATGGCATGAGTTAGGGCAGACTCAAATGGTTGTTAAGGACAGACATGTAAAATGCATTCAAATCTGTGGATGGCCACTGGGAACCAAATACTCCTGGGAATGAAGAAATGCAACATCTGATGTAAAATCAGGAAAAGGTCTTGATGGGGATTTGCTTAAAAAGGAAAGGTCTCCTCTTCTGCTCTATACCAATTAAATAACCATGACACAAATTTTCCTCTACTCTTCAGCTTTATTAAATTTAATATGGATTTATTATGTGTCTACTAATTGCCCAGCACTGTGCATACCAGGCAGCAGTAGGGCGTGAGAATCCATCTTTACTTCTGGCCACAGACTCCTACTCCAATCATGCTGGCTGGTTGACCATCTCTCCCATAGGACTCACTTCGTCACATCTCTAGGCTCTGAGCTGGCCCTGCCCTGAGGACCCTGGTAGTGGATCTTGTTCTAGCAGAAAGTGATTAAGAAACTTCTGACTGTGGGAAGAGCTGCTTTGATTCAAGGCTCTCATTCCGGTGTTACATGACTGCCGTTCTGATGCCCTGCTTGGTCTTCTGCTTGTTGTCTTGTCCTGGCCCCTGGCTTCTGTGTACTGTCTAAGCTTTGCCTGCTTGCTCCATTTGGGATCTTTTTATTGTTTGTCCTCACATTTATTTAGGGAGGCCCTGATTCTTATTTGCCTGCCTGCATTTAGACTCCTTTTTCCATCTTTAGCTCTCTAACCCTTGAGTTGTGGCCTGCCCTGGGACCTGCTTTTCCATCTAGATCCCTGGCCTCCATGGACCTCTTGGTTCTGAGCTATTCCCTTGAGCAATGGCAGACACTGATACCAGGGTCCTTGTGCTGGGTATAAGAGCCCTGGCTTTGAGGATCCACTTCTCTTCATGGTTTAGTGTGGAGAGGAAGTGGAAAAGGAGGAAGAAATTAATCCCCTGCCCTTGGGGAGCTCACAACCGAGTTGGAAAGACAACATGTCCCCAGTTGAAACAATAAGAGTTTAAAGAAGATCTGTGAAGAGCATACAGTGAGAGCTCTGGAACCTTTGGGGGAGGAAGTGTGGTCCAGGGATACAAGCACAGGCTTTGCAGTGTGAGAACCTGAGAATACTGCCTCAGATGCCTTCTCCCGGTGTGACCTTACCCTGTGGGGGCCATCCAAGATCCCTCCCAAGGTTCTGTCTACACCTGTGATCCTTCGATACTACATTTAGAGACAAGGGAGATTAAGGGGTTGTAAATCTCTGGAGGGACCCCAAGGGTGTCTGTCCTTCCTGACAGGGAACTCTCCCTTCATCATCTGACTTGAGCTGACATTTCTAGGCTTGTTATACATACCAGCTACGATCCTGCTAGCCTGCCTGGCTCCCTTGCTGTTCCCCAGACTCAGCTTCTCCTGTCTTTGAGACTTTGTACAGGCTGTGGCTGTAAGCCTGGAACACACTCTCTGCTCTTCTCCACTTCTTAGGAGCCTTAGGCTCCCTTAAGCCTCAGTTCAGATTCCACCTCCTATAGGAAGCCTTCCCTGGTCTCCTTAATGGCCTCTTCCACCTTCAGTTGTCCTCTATAGATGTAGATGTATTCCCTTGCCCTAAAGGAAGGTGCCCTAAAGGCCACTTAGTCCAAGGATCTTAGGTTTAAAGCTGGGAAAGGCCTCAAAGACCATCTACTCCTATCCCATCATTTTACAGATGAAGAAACTGAGGCTCAGGAAGATGGTGATGTACCCAAGGTCACTTCGCTCACGAGTGGAAGAACTGGTATTTGAACTCAGGTACTCTCACTCTGAATCCAATGCTCTTTCTGCTGTGCCAATCACATAACTATTCCATGGAGCCTTTACCTCCCTTCCTGCCTGACTCTAGATGTTCCTGTCCAGCTTCTACTTTCTCTTCTTCCGGTTCTCTCCAGAAGGGAGAGATCTTAGTCATGTGAATTGAAACCAGTCTGTTATTCCTCCTAGGGGTATTTGAGGTCTTATCTCTCCAAACAAAATAGTAATAATGACTAGCACTTATATATTACTTTAAGGTTTGCAAAGGACTTTGCATGTGTCGTATGATGCTTTTGATGCTCACTATAACCCTGTAAGGTAAAGGTTTTATCATCCCCATTTTCCAGATGAGGAAACTGAGGCTGAGATAAAGTGACTTGTCCAGGTCACTCACACAGTAAGTGACTGAGGCAGGATTTGAATTCAGGTCTTCTTGATTCCAAGCTCTATACTGTGCCGCTGAGCTGACCCCATTAAAAAGATTCAGGGTAGTAGTGGAGGCAAAATTTGGTGAGAAACTGGGGATCTTCCCTTGGGAACCCCAAACCACACCCAGTCGTGGAAGCCTGCCCAATCCTGTAAGCCACAGCTCTGGGAAAAGCCAGAGGTAGGGGAGGGGGAAGGGGTTGGAAAAGGCTGGAAGAAAAGGGCCTTTCTTTCTCTCCCTCTCTGAAGAGCAGTCAGCCTCACCTCTGAGCCAATGGCAGCGCTGCCGATGGGTGCTTCAACCTCAACGTACACTCCCCTTCCCCCTCCCCCAGACCTCAGCTCCAAGGAGACAAGCTGTCTTTCTCTGGAATTTTGGCCAAACCCACAAGATTGTGTGATGACATGAGCATTGGCCTGGGAGCCAGGATGCCTGGGTTGTAGGCACATCACCATCTTCCTGAGCCTCAGTTTCTTCATCTGTAAAATGATGGGGTAGGAGTAGATGGTCTTTGAGGCCCTTCCCAGCTTTAAACCTAAGATGGTTGGACTAAGCGGCCTTTAGGGCACCTTCCTCTTGGTTTGGAAGGAAATCTGAGGCATCTTCACAGTCCATCTTCCTACTCATCATAGAAGCTCCTGTGTCCAATCCTCTCACCAGCCTGCAAACTCCTTCAGGGTCATAAGGCTGGATTGTCTTGGCCAAATCCATCAACGATAATTTTTAAACAATAACTAAATGTCTTTTGTGTGGGAAACTCTGGGCTGAGATTCAAGGTTTGGAAAAGACACAATGCCTGCTCTCATGGAGCTTACAGTCTGCTAAAGGGATGAGAGATGTGAATTTGAAAAGCATGAAGGTGCTATACACATGCAACATATTGTCATTGCTATTCTTTATCATATTAACTGCTGCTAGGTAGCACAGTAGATAGGACGTTGGATGACTTGGACTCATGCAGACCTGACTTCAAATCCTGACTCAGAAACTTACTAGTTGCACTTACTTCGTGACATCCAGCGAGTCACTTAATGTTTCTCAGTCTCAGTTTTATCATCTGCGAAGTGAGTATAATTGTAGTACCTACCTCCCAGAGTTGTTGTGAGGATGCCATGAGATCACCCTTACCGTAAAGAGCTCAATGGACAGTAGCTATTATCATCTGCCCATTGGGAACGGTCTTGGGGGAGGCAGGCAGAGTCCTGACATTATCCAGACTAAGTCCTCAGGAGATCAGTGTCACCGGAGGAAACAGGCTTTTGACAAGTGGTCATTTTCTCAAATGAATCTGGCTTGAGTCCTGGTTCCTGTGCTCACAGAGACCTTTAGGGATTGACATAGATACTCTGGAAAGTCTGGAGGAAAGTGAGGAGCCACAGGAGGAGGGTATAAAGAAGCTGAGGGGCTAAGTCAGGAGAAGGGAAGACTCAGGGACCCCATATCAGCTGTCTTCAAGTGTTTGAAGGGACAGCAATGGTGAAAGAAATGAGACTGAAGGCAGAACTAGGAGAAGCCACATACAGATGTTCAAAGAGGTCAGTTTAGGCTCAAGGTCATCATGAACTTCCTAACAATTAGCGCTATTCCTGAGTGGAAAGCAGTGGGCTCCTCCCCAACACATCGAGCACTGGCTACTTGCCAGGCATGTCTTTGAGGGTGTTCTTTCTCAGGTATGGATTGGACATCTCTGAGGCCTCTTCCAACTTTGAAATGCTGTGATTCTGATGCGAGGTCTTAATCAGAGGAGTTCCTAGCTAGCTAGCTGGTTAGATAGGTGGATGGATAAATGGATGGATGGATAGATGGATGGATAGATAGATGGATGGATAGAAAGATGGGTGGATGGGTGGACAGATGAGTGGAAGGATAGATAGATGAACGGATGGGTAGATAGCTAGATAGCTAGAGGGATGGATGAATGAATAGGTGGATAGATGGATGGATGGATGGATAGATAATTTATTAGGTACTTACTATATACCAGGCACTATGCTAAGCACTGGGGATAGAAATACAAATACAATTACCCTCAAGGGTCTCAGAAAGCATCATCTAAAGGGGAGGTGGAAGGAGTCTGAGTGTGTCAGAGTGAGACTTGCCTAATCATGCGGATGAACTTACAAGGGGAAGTCTCACTTTGGAAACTCTAACTGCAGATGCCTCTCCCCAGAGGGGTGGGCACACTCATTGGCACCATGCTAGGAGGACAAAAGGCAGCTCCTGATAAACTCTTAGTGGTTGCAGCTGCCCCCAAGATAAAGGGGGTGGCTGGGAGGATGGATTCCAGTGGGATGAACCCCCTTATTGCACTGGCCTGTGAAAGTGAACTCAGGCTCATTGGCTTTTTCTGCCTTTACCCTTTGGTGTTGCTTCTGAAGAGAATCAAATGGAGAAAACTGAGGGGGGGGCAGGGTTGGGAGGCTATTTAGGAATGATATGAATGAATCAAGGGCTGCCTTGGAGCAGAAGTGAAAGAGAGTCACTCAAGAAAAGAATTCTTGGCTACCATCCGCCTTTATTTTTTCTCTTCTGAGCATGCCAGAGAGCAAGGACCTGGGGGTAGGTTTACTCATCTGAAAAGATGGAATCACCCTGGGCAGTAGCAGGGTATCCTACTACAGCATATGGGGGCTGCACACATCTGCCCACTTGGCCAGGAGGGGAGTTCGTGGACAAAGTCGTTCCTAAACCTCTCTCTCCTGGGTTAGAGGGAAGGGATTTCCTCGACAGTGGGATCCTAGAATATAGCCTTCTAGCCAGACAAGGGAGAGTTCTTGGCCAGCTTAAGGCATTGCCTCTCAACTAATACCAAGTTGGTGACTCGAGGGAGCTGTAACTTCCAAGTGGAGGAGGGAAGTTTTCTGAACAGTATGCCTCTTGGAAAAAATAAAAGAAAGCCTCTTTCTCCCTTCCCCACTCTCCTCAAAGGAAGCAGAACAGGAGGACAGAGGAGCCACAACATGGGTGAGCAAATGATTTGGAACTTTTCAGCCTCCACCCCCATTACAATTAGGGGTGGCCTGGCTAGCAGTTCCAGAGTATGTTTCCCTTTGAGGCCAGGGGCAGACAAAATCACAGGGTGCAACAGTTACCCTGAGGACACTACATAGGACCTCATAGGAGACAGGGGTCTCCAGGATGTTCTGTTCTCTTCTGAGGGAAATCAACCACAGGGAGTGGCTGAGTTTGGAGAATTCTGGGACTCTAGTGGAAAAGTGGGACCTAGCGAAGAGGAAAGAGAATTATCTTTATTGCTTGTGGACTTTTATAAGCTCCGAATAGGTTTTCTACGTTTGTTTATGGGCTTCTGTCAGTTCTTATGTCTGGGGAGTGAAGAAAAGATTGCCTTGTACTTGAAATACATTTGTCACATTTATGTTTTTTGTACATCTTAAGTGCTTGGTTATAAGTTGGGGACCCTGTTCCCTGTATTTGTGGAAACCTAGACATGAACCATATTCTAGAATTTCTCAAACTAAACTCTGGGTGGGGGCATAATAGTCAATTATCAATCAAAATTTATTTATTTGTTTGCTTGTTTGCCAGGAAACAGGTAGTGGTTTAATTAATTAGTTTCAGAGTGAAGAATGCTTTTTATGCTGGAGTAAAGCTACAGCATGTATACATAAATCACAAGTGGGAAGGGGGTGGGAGGTCGGTTACAAACAACCATTTCCAGGGCCTGAGTAGTTTCCCACGTCAAACCCACAATGCAGGACAATACAGGTGTTCTGGAGTCCTGTGGGAACAGTATTGCTTCAAGTCTTTGATGGTCATTACTTGGTGGGATGCAGGACAAGAATTCTGTGATGGGAACAAGTTCTACGATCTTGGATTTGCTTCACTTAATGCCTGTAATGATTCAGTAACAGCAACGTGGTGTGATGACTGACTTTGACAGACTTCTCTCTTCTCAGCAATGCAAGGATCTAAGACATCTCCAAAGGTCTCATGATGGAAAATGCTATCCATATCCAAAGAAAGAACTGTGGAGTTTGAAAACCGATTGAAGCAGACTATTTGCTCTTTTTTTCTTCTGTTGTTTTGTTTCCTCTTTCTGGTGGTTCCTCCTATGGGTTCTAATTCTTCTTTACAACATGACTAATGTGAAAATGTGTTTAATAGGAATATATGTGTATAGCCGATATCACTTCGCACATCATCTTGGGGAGGGAGGTGTGGAGGGAGAGGGAGAAAAATTTAAAACTCCAAAAGCTTATGGAAGTGTCAATCAAGATCTATTAAGTGTCTGTGCCAAGCACTGTGATATTTGGGGTAGTCCCAGAATTGTTGAACCGGGTCCATGGGAGCTCAGAGCTTGGGAGACCCTGGGCTGTGGGGTCACATGGATCAATTTTTTAAACATCAAAAGTTGGCCTTCATGGTGGCGTATGGAAAACTGTATTGTGATGGTAAGTGAGAATCCTACAGCTGTTCTGTTTCTTAGGAGGGGGACCCTGGGGGGGTGGGGGCTTGAGCTTATTTTGTTTTTCCTGGGCCCACTTAGTACACCTGTGTTCATGGTGCGGCTTATTGCTCCAAGAGGTGAGGAGAGCCCAGGAGGCCCAGGCAG